CTTCCCTCCCTTCCCTCCCTCCCTCCCTCCCTCTCCCTCCCTCCTCCCTCCCTCTCCCTCCCTCTCCTCTCTCTCTCTCTCTCTCTCTCTCTCTCTCTCTCTTCTCTCTCTCTCTCTCTCTCTCTCTCTCTCTCTCTCTCTCTCTCTCTCTCTCTCTCTCTCTCTCTCTATGCCTCGATGCCCATCACTCTGACCCTCTCTCCTCCCAAGTCTCACACTCAACTTCCAGCAGTGTTGTACTACGTGGTGGAAGGGTGTACGGTACCAAGGGTTGGAGCAAGGCATCTCCATGTGGGGCCTGCACTCATGCATGCCCATGGCTCTAGAATACTCTGTTTCGCCATAATCAGTAGTGGTACTCTTTACAGTAATGTTGTTGTGCCTTTTGTGCAAATAGCCTGCAGAATAAATTACAAGTACAAAAACTTGTGACACATATGCAAATTGCCTGCAGAATAAATTACACGGTCTGTGCACACTGACACACTATGTCCAGGCCAAGGATTCCGTCATTGGCACTCGAAGTCAGGGCCAGCGTCCCCAACTCCTGTGGAAAGGGATAGTGGGAGCACAAAGCGCCGAACAAGGGAGATGGGACAGGGAGGGGTGGTTCTGAGTAATAGCAAAGAGCGAATGACGTCTGGATGGGGTGAGAGATTGATGGAGAGAGAACGCGAGAGGGCTGGAGAGAAGGAGGGAGGGAGGGAGGGAGGGAGGGAGGGAGGGAGGGAGGGAGGGAGGGAGGGAGGGAGGGAGGGAGGGAGGGAGGGAGGGAGGGAGGAGGGAGGGAGGTGTATGTATGGAAGATGGGTTGGATGGGATTGGAGGGATAGCAGCAATAGGACTCACAGCATGGATTGGAGGGAAAGGAGGTACAGGGAGGTTAGCAGGTAAGGGAGGGAACGGAGGGAGAGCGCTGAGAGCGTAAGAAGGGACAGGAGAGGTAGATAGGTTAGAAGGGTTGGGAGGGATAGCTGTGATAACAGGGATTGAAGGGCGAAGTGGGAGGCAGGGGGAAGTGGGCAGCAGGGGGAAGCGGGCAGCAGGGGGAAGTGGGCAGCAGGGGGAAGCGGGCAGCAGGAGGAAGCGTGCATCAGGGGGAACGCGACGTGCAGGGGGGAAGCGGGATGCCGGGGGAACGAGGAGTCCACGGAGGGAGGGACGGAGGGAGGGAAGGAGGGAGGGAGGGGAAGGAGGGAGGGAGGGAGGGAGGGTGGGAGGGAGCGATCGTTACACTACGCCATCGTTCCCTACGCTGTTATCTGTGCGCTGCAGCTCAGGCTGGGGGCGCTCCGTTGGTCTGGCTTTGGGTCGCCTGGAACTTAGGAAGCGGCTGGCCGCGAGCCGCGGGACGCGGGAAGCGTGAAGCAGGAAACAGCGTCTCCAGAGAGGCAGGAAGCGGGGAGCAGGAGGCAGGAAGCAGGAAACAGCGGGAAGCAGCGGGGATGCGACGCATGAAGCAGGAAGAGTGAAACAGCGAGCAGCGACAAGGGGACGGCCTGGAAGCGGGAACCAGGAAGATAGACTGGGCGGGAAGCGGCGAAAAGCGAGAAGTGGGAAGCGCGAAGCAGGAGGAGGGTAGCGGAAGAAGCAGAGAAGCAGGTAGCGGGAAGCGCAAGGCAGCGGCACGAGCGGGGCTGGGCGCAGCGAACAGACTCCCAGCAGGAAGCGGGAGGGGGGGAGGGGAAGCAGCAGGTGGCGGGTAGCGGGAAGCTGCAAGCAGGAGACGACGACACGGGAAAAAAAATGAATCGAGAAGCGCGGGAAGCTGGAAGCGGCGGCGCGCGGAGTCCACGGGAAGCAGGATCCCGCTTTACGAAAGAAAAAACGAACTGCGGGAGTTCGATATGCAAACAGGTACTTATTCAAATTCCTACCAGTCAGATAGTTGGAGCATGAATTCGCTAGGGGTTCGCGTCCTGGTTCCCTCCCAAGTTCCTGGCTGGACTCTGCCACTCATCCCTGATTGGTTTCTTTCTTCCCAGCCGTGCATGTGGCACCACGCCGTTCGCTTTCCCAATCCAAGATCTGAGTCAATCATGCTTCTGTTTCGGGCCCGCGCCCATTTTGCTGCCCCCTCGTGATTGGCTCCGTAAGTTACCTTGCGACGACTTGACTGGTCGCATGGCGTAGCTCACCTGCAAAATGAAAACTTTGTTGCATCAGTTTAGTATTCCATTACTTTTCGCCCTTGCCCTGCCCACAAATCAACCTGTCTGTCTCAAACCCCCTCATTCAGTCGGACGGGGATCAAGAGGGGTCCCAGCTTGATAACCCCTGTGCTATTTTGCCGTGGGGTTTTAACAACACACTGCAGGCAAGAGGAAACCGACTTGGCCAAACCATGCAAGGGTGAGCAATATCAGGACAACACAAAACTCCTTGGCACGCGCTACAAGATCGCTGGACTGGAGAATTCCCAGTCCCAGTAGGAAATGGAATTCAATACAACTTGGTAGAAACTAGGGGAATCAGCTGGATGCTGGTCAGGTTATGCAAAGGAGTGCGGAGACTGCATGAGAAGCTGCATGCACGCACGAGACGAGATGCTCATGCTCCTGCTCGTGATGCCGCTCATGTGATCATGATGCTTCCCGTGTGAGCATGATGCTGCCCATGTGAACATGATGCTGCTCATGAGCACAATCATACAGCTTCAGGGCAGTTGCTGTTGCAGCTGCTGCGAGCGATGCCGTTGGTGGTGTCAGAATTCGCAGGTTGCGGCCCCGGTGTCCGCAATAAAGCCCTGTGGCCGGCTGTGGTCGGTCCTGGGCCAAAGTACTGTGGAACCGCTACACGAAGTTGATCCATTAGGGAAGCTAACGCTGTGTTGTAACGAGGTGTTGTGTTGCAACGAGGTGCTGTGTTGTAACGAGGTGCTGTGTTGTAACGAGGTGACGTGTTGTAACGAGGTGTTGTGTTGCAACCAGGTGCCCGAGGATTGCTTGGTGAAGTGAAATGTCCTGGTGGTTCTAGACGAGTCATACCGGTACCACGAGCCATGGCGAGGCTGTTAAACTAAGCCAGGTACGACCTAAGTGGTCGGACTTTTCTGGCTGAACTGAACGTTCTCAATGTTCTCTCTTCCCTGGTTTCTCAGTCCATCCGTTTTTTCTCCATCTTCCAACCCTAATCTTACCCGTACGTTCCACCGTCCCTTAGATCTCAACCAGCTTATATCTGTCCTAGTATTTCGCCAAAAACTTCGCCTTATGACCGACTTTCCGTGCGTCGACGTCGGTGCAGCGGCGAACCACTCTTACATTCTCCCCTGTGGTTTGCCGGCTGCAAACCTTAGATCCACGAACCTCTTCAACCCTGTCAACTTCTCCTGGTGCTCTCCCTTCATACTTCCTTATTTCTGTCCATCACTCCCCTGCAAGTCCGCCAAGGTACGGATCCCAACCAAGTACTTGGAGTGCTCGAAATTCGCCGTTGGAAGCACCTTCGTGAGAAAATTGGCTGCTTGTTCCTCTGTCCGTATGAACTCAAAATCAAACGCCTTCTTCTCTAGTTGATCTTGCACCCAGTGATATTTAATGTCCATATGCTTCGTCCGCCCGTGCCAGTTGTCGTTTCTTGCCAATGCTATGGCGGATTTGTTGTCAGTCCTTATCATGGTCGGCCCTCGCACTGGTACCTCGAGCTCCTGCATTAGTTGCTGCAGCCATACCCCCTCTTGGCAAGCTTGAAATAACGCCATGTATTCCGCCTCCGCACTTGTGATAGCAATATCATTCAGTTTCTTTCCTTGCCATGTAATTGATGTCCCGCCGAGTAAGTAGACGTATCTGTATGCTCCTTAGCGTGTTTCCTTGTCTGATGCATGAGATGCATCAGCATACCCCACCAATTCCAAGGTTTCTTCTCCACCTTCGTACATCAATCCCTCTTCGACTCTCTGCTGCAGGTACTCAATCGTTCGCTGCATCTCCTTCCATTTCCGACCTTCGGATTGAAGGACGTTCTGTCCTAAGAAGCTAGTAGCGTGGGCGACATCAACCTGTGTGCAAGATATGGGATACATCACCAAGCCCACCCGTTGCTGGTAAGCTTTCAGTGCTTGTTCTCTGCTGCCCCATGTCTGAAGTTCTTCGTCAGTATCCACCTCCTTCCCTGCTTGGCTGCTGAGAGGCGTCGCTACTGCCTTAGTGCAGCCTGAGGTCCCGAACTTCTGCTGCAGCCGTTGGATGTACTTCTTCTGGTATAGGTACACCCTTCTCCCCTCTCTGTCACGCTCCAGGTTCATCCCAAGGAATAGCGTGGCCCTGGGGAGTTGCTTCACCTGGAAGACGGCGGCAAGGTGAGTGCACACCTCCTCCACTTTGTCCTCGAGTGCACCAGCAACGAGAATGTCGTCAACGTAAAGGAGGAGATAGACTTTCTCCTGTCCTTCACCTTTCCAGAAAAAAGCTCTATTGCATGTACTTTTATGGAATCCTCCTTCCATCAGCCTTGTGTCCATGGTCTTGTACCATTCGCGAGGGCTTTGTTTGAGCCTATAAAGGGTCTTGAGTAGCTTGAGTAAGCATTCTTGATGTCTAGCTGAATCATGAAGTAGTTCCTTGCAGCGACCACCTTGAAGAGTGCCCTTGCTGTAGTTAACTTGCTGACAGGTGCGTATGTCTCATTGTAGTCGAGTCGTTCCACTTGCGTGTATCCTTTCGTCACCAATCTTGCTTTGAAACGCTCCAGCTGTCCGAAGTCCCCTGTGTATTTTTCCCTCCTTGCCTTGGAGACGAGCGCTGTCGTCATCGTGGCGAGTAGCAAATGCGTGTGTACGTCCTTGCAGCACGTCATTAGAAGAAGTGCATATTTTGGATTCGGCTTCTTAGTCCGCATTCCTCTGCCCAATTCGTTTCCAACAACCGATGCTCCACTTGCACTATTGTCTGCTGCCCCTTCTCCTTTCTCTATTGTCGGATCTTCATCCTCTTTCCCAATCAGAATTGCGCCATCTTCTAGCAAGGTGTCAATCACTTCGGCCCCTTTGTCGTTGCTACTGATCTCCAACAGCTCCCATGGATCGCTGATTCCTTTAATGTTTGCTTTGTACTCGTCATTCTCAGCTTCATTCCCTTGCTGTCCAGCGTCTTCCTTAGCTGCCTGTGCTTGAAATAGTGGAGAGTCAAGCCCTGCATCATTGTCTTCAGAGGTAGGTGTTGTCTCATTTGGCTCCCACTCCCAATCCATCATCATGTGAGACTGGTCATCTTCATCCAGTTCCTCTTCTTCGCTTGATGTGTCCAATCCTTCGTTGTGGTTGTCATCCAACAGCTCTTCCACTCATTGGGGTGTAACGGGCAATGCTCCAGCAGTTCTTGTTGTTGTTGTCTTGTTTTATCCCTTCCAGTCCACGTAATTGAGGTCTTCGTAGAAAACAACATCTCTGGTTGCCGTTACAACTCCCGTCCCTGCGTCTTTGATTATCCACCATTTGCTCTCCGGGCATATGCCCAAGTGAACACCCCACTGGGCCCTTGGCATAAGCTTGTTTTCAGTTCCCCCTGGTGATTTGTACTGCGTCATACAGCCCCATACTTGAAGAAATTCCAGGTTCAGCTTTCTTTTGTAGAACGCCTCATGAGGAGTCGTGCTTGCTGCAAGTCCTTTACTCGGTAGGCGATTTTTCAGCCAGCATGCCCTGCCCAAGGCATCTCACCAGTATGCCAAGGGCAGTTTGCTTTCCACCATCATACTCCTTATGCTATTAAGGCGTGTCCGATTCACCCTTTCTGCAACACTGTTGTGCTGCGGGGTATGAGGAATAATTCGCTGCCGCCGGATCCCTTTGGCTTTCAAGTAGTTAGTGAAGTCCTTGTTGATGAACTCCCCTCCATTGTCAGTTCGGAGAACTTTCAGCAGTTTGCCAATTTGTCGTTCAGCTTCCGCCAACCAGTCAACGAAACTCGGGAACACTTGAGTCTTGTCTTTCAGTTCAGTCACCCAAGTGTGACGTGTGCCGAGATCCGTAAATGTAATGAAATATTTGCTGCCATGTCGTGATGCCACCCGCATAGGTCCGCACACGTCAGCAGCCACAATATCCATGGCACTATAGGGCTTCTTCGGTTCATGCTTTGGATGTGGCGCCTTTGTAGCTTTCCCCTCAATGCATGAGCTGCACTGCATCTTGTTCTCCTCCCCAGCTTTGAGCTTGACCCCTGCTGCCATGTTTTTTTTTTATCATGTCCTTGAGGTGTTGTATGCTGGCATGCCCCATCCTCTTGTGCAGCAGACTGATGTCAATTGCTTCCACTGCTGCAGCCATGGGGAAGGTCAGTTGCTGCAGCTCCTTCACTGGTGTCTGTTCCAACATGGTTCGTAGCTCCTCTCGTGCTCTCTTCCCTTCCTCCGATTCAGGTTGGTAGGTAACTCTCTATGTACTTCTCCAGTAGCTTCATTTCATGGAGTCCATGCTTCCGAGTGCCTTCTGCTATCAGTTTCCAATCAGGGCTGAAAACCCAAAGTTTGCTGTTATCGCTGTAGGTTTTGTAACTGTTGCTGTCCAGTTGGGTCTGACTGATTAAGTTCAGTGACAACTTTTCCACGAGGAGAACGCTATCCATCTTCACCTCTCCGTACGGGCTCTGTAGTATCAGGTCCCCTTCTCCTTTCACTGAGAGCTTTCCTTCATCTCCAAGTAGGACGTATGGGACGCTTGAGTCGTGGTAGTTCAGCAACCAGTCCGCCCGGTGCGTCATGTGCTGTGTGCAGCCAGAATCCATAAACCATGTTGTTTCCTTACAATCCTTTGCCAGCATGCACACCTTGGAGGCCCGGACGATATTTGCCTTGTGGCACCTCCCAAGATGGCGTCTTCTTCAGTTTTTTCTGCCACGGTTGCTGTTGCTTGAGCAGGGGCTGCCAAGGCAGCTGTCTGCCTCTGCTGTTGCTGCTGCCCTCCCTTGAAATTCTTGCTGGCAGGGTTGTGGTAGCAGTCGTAGGCCGTGTGTCCATATTTTCCGCAATGGTTGCAGTTTCCGCTGAATCCGCCTCTCGATTTGTATCCTTCTCCGCTTGTCCCTTCGCCGTATTGCGGCCTGGCTGCTTCTCTGCCCTTGTAGTTTCTTCCCTTTGGGTTGGTGAAGCAGTCAATTGCTTTGTGACCTTTCTTGCCATAGTGGTAGCAGGTCCCAACTCCTCTTGGTGCTGTTCTTGCATTCAGAATTGCAGGTTTTTCGAGCTCCACATCTGCTGCCATTGCCTCCCTCCGTTTGAGGTCAGACCGAACCAGCTCCAGTGCTTGAAGAATCTCAAGCAGCTTGGACATATTCGCAGGTGCATTGCAGGTGAGAACTCCAATTTCGGCGCTCCACTCCATCGGTAAGCCACTGATTATGTAGCCCATCATGTGCTTCTCCGATTCTGGTGCTCCCATTGCTGTCATGTCATCATTGTATCTTTTTGCTCGATTGACAAAGTCGATTTTCTTCTCCGATGGCTCCATAGCCAGTAGCAGCAAATTTTTTCTGACTGTTGTCAAGTTTGTGTCGGTCCGCCCGAGATAGACCGCTTCCATGTAGTCCCATGCACGCTGTGCTGAATTCATCTCCCCTGCGAACTGGTCCAATCCCACAGCGATGGAGTCTGAGATCGAGTGGCACAGTTGGTAGAAGGCCTAAAGACTCTTTCGTTTATATGCCCCCTTTTCTTGTGACGTTGCGCTTGCAGGTGGAGGAACTTCTTCTTCTGTCTCCTCATTAGGATGGTAGAGCGGCCAGAGCTCCACCTCTCTTGCTCGCCGGATAAACTCGAGGCGCCATGTCGAGTAGTTAACCCCACTGAAGCGATGTGCCTCACTAAGGCCAATTGTTGGTTTGGCCACGATATGCCCATGCGTTAGGGCATCCAATAGGGCTTGCACTTGAGGGCCTCCTGCACTCACAATGGAGCCCGTACTCGCCTCATCATGCTCGTCAGGCATGATGCAGGGACGTCTCTAGCCCTTCTTGGAGACTTAATGGAAACCAAGCTCTGAGACCACTTGTTAGACTTGGGGAGCGAGAGCCTCTGGCTATTCGCTAGGTCCCCAAGAACGCAGCGGAAAAACCAAACTTGATATGAGAAGTGCAGGAGAGCCAAGTGCTTTTCAGCTCAGAGTTCAACCAGAAAGTCTTACTCCAAAAAATGGTTACAAACGAAAAACTAAACAATAACATATAAGCATGCAGAAAGGTAAAGGGCGACTCGTGTAACGCGTCGCGTGCATTTCGTCTAAATCTTGGGCGGAACCAATATCGGTAACCGACACTGTCGGTGAAACCGACCCTCCGACATTCCGCCGAATACGACCTAAGTTTGGTTGGACTTTTCTGGCTGAACTGAACGTTCTCAACGTTCTCTCTTCCCTAGTTTCTCAGTCCATCCGTTTTTTCTCCATCTTCCAACCCTAATCTTACCCGTACGTTCCACCATCCCTTAGATCTAAACCAACTTCCAGTAACGGAAACAATTGTCCGGGTGTTTTGCATTAACTAGGGTTTTGGGGCTTTCCGACCACTGTACATAAAGTCTGGATGTTTCATGCTAGTACACTTTGGAAGGGGCACATAGTGGATGTATTCACAATGCTAAAATCTATAATAGTACACTGGATCTAACTCTGTGCCACAAGGTATACAAAGAGTACATCCGTACAATTGTTTCCTGGGACAAAGAGCAAACTTCCGAACAACGTTTCGAGTACCTAGTCCATCGACTCTTGGCCTTGATCATCATCCGCACCCTCTTAGGCATGTTATCTCTGAGGTTAGTGCAAACCTTTGCATGGATCTTCTTGCACTCTTCCTAGACCCGCCCTTTTACATAAGGGGGTGAGCACTAGGAAAGTCGCGAAGGATATGAGCGTATGCAATATTATTGTGCACGATTTCTGATTCAATGTGATCTCTTAGGCTAGCCATGCTAAGGTGTGACCAAGGGCGCCATTAGCCGATTGGTCCCGTCTTTTCATGGGTCATCTCCGTCGTAGGGTTGTAGGGTAAAACCACGAACAGATCGACAAAAACTAACGGATATGCAGCAAAACTTAGGGTAACGTAGCATGGTCGATTGTGCACCCTTACACCATTAGAATCACGCTAGGATCCGTAGGTCTCGTAACGGTGTAGCAATCGAAGAAGTCGTGACTGTTCGAGAAGAATGCTTGAGGTGAGGTCTTGTGAGGAAAAGGGTCACTCCAGTGCAACATACTGATGCTCTCCAAGCCATTCCAAGACATTTCTCCCACCTAGGCATGGAATGGCTTGGAGAGCACGTGTATGTAGCACTGGAGTGACCCTCTTCCTCACCAGACCTCAACCCGGATATTCTTCTTCACCAGTTGGGCTTCTTCGACTGCTGCACAGTGATGAAGCCAGTGGATTTTAATGTGATTCTAATAGAGAAAAGGGTGTTCAGTCAAACGTGCTATGTTACGCTAAGTTTCGTGGCGGATAAACTAGTTTTCGCCACTCTGCTCGTAATTTTACCCTACAACAGTACGGCGAAGAGGACCCATGAAAAGACGGGACCAATCGGCTAATGACATCTTTGGTCACACCTCAGCATGACTAGCCTAATGGATCACATTCAATCAAAGATCGTGCACAATACTCTTGCATATGCTCATACCCTTCGCAATATTCCAGGTGCTCACCCCCTTATGCAAAAGGGTGGGTGCAGGAAGAGTGCGAGAAGATCCTTGCAAAGCTTTGCGCTAACCTCTAAGATAACATGCTTATGAGGGTGCGGGTGGTGATCAAGGCCAATGGTCGATGGACTAGGTACAAGAAACGATGTTCGGAAGTTTGCTCTTTGTCCTGGGAAACAATTGTCCGGATGTACTCTTTGTATAACTTTTGGCACCAAATTAGATCCAGTGTACTATTATGGATTTTAGCATTGTGAACACATCCACTATGTGCCCCTCTCAAAGTGTACCACCATTAAACATTAAGAATTCATGTACAGTGGTCGGAGAGCCCAAAAACCCTAGTTAATGCAAAACATCCGGACAATTGTTTCCGCCACTGTAGATCTGTCCTAGTATTCCGCCAAAAACTTCGACTTATGACCGACTTTCCATGTGTCGACGTCGATGCAGCGGCGAACCACTCTTACAGCAGAATCTGGCTTTGACTCAGACTCAGAAGCAGAGGACGACTCACGAGAACCAAATTTGGACTCGGAACCGGAGTTAGATCTGCCAGAACTAGACGCGGACTCGGAACATTCAGTAGAATCACCCTCAGAACCGGAAGAGGAAGACTCGAAAGAATCCGATTCGGAACTGTCACTAAGAGGAGCGCTCGTCACTCCATTCACTATTTGCCTCTTCATCTACCTGATATAAGGTCGATCGGAGGAGGTCTCGTCGTCTCTGTCCTCGCGAATCAGCTGCTTGCCCTTGGACGCCTGCTTGTTGCGTTTAGGAGGAGTTGCACTAGAGTTAATCCGATTCTTGCCCTTGGAAACACGCATATTGTGAGGAGCTGCACTAGAAGGTTCGGAAATTGGCATCTTGCCCTTAGAAACATGTGTAGTGTTGCGTTCATGTCGCGGTCTACTCGGCGTAACATTACAGGATTTCGTCGCTTTGACTGGGGATGCTGCTGCTGCTGTTGCACGCCTCCGGGATGGACCAGCTTCGGAGGGTCTTGGTTCGATAGACTCCTCCTCTCCAAAACGACAGCTGGTAAAGCCTTGGGCTATACGACTTTTCATCCACGCAATGTACGGCGAATCAGAGGGAGTTTGGTCAACGTCGTCGTCGGGTCTCGGCTTCTTGCACTTGCATTTGGATGGCATGGCGGAAGGACAATCAGAAAGCTAGGGCTCTGTTGGGTTGCGAACGAAGGCAGGAAAGCCCTCGGAAACGTGACAATGGAGGGATGGACGGGAATACCAGCTCCCTGCAGGGTTTCAGTAGAAAAAAAAAAGGTGAGGGCAAGGCTAGGGAGGGGCTTCGGTAGAATAAAGCTTCTAAGCTCCTAAGAATGCTGCTACAGCACAGTAAGTGAAGGTGAAATTGTCTACTCAAGGCAAACCAAGTTATGGATAAGGTTGCGGTGGGTATGATTCGGTCGAGAGAATTTTTTATTGGTTGGCTCTGGTTTGGCGGGTGCTGGGGTGCGGTCCGACAACATTGGCTCGGTTCGGTTTGGTTTGAGGTTCGGAGGTTCAGTGCAGCGCTTGGGCCTCGAAGAGTCACGTTCAGGATTGCAGGAGCAAAAGGGAAATTATCAGAAAGGGATCTCGCTCTGCCAAGGGTGTGAGCAAAAAAGGTCCGTCTACCTCCGAACCTATAATGCACTCCGTTTTATTTTTAGTCATTACCAGTACACTCCATTTGGCACTCCGTTTTTAGTCTTTAGTTGTTACCTGTGGTAACGTTTATCAACGAAAAAGGCAAAAACATAAAACCCATTTGGGACCGAATTTCGTTCGAGATGGCATCAACCCTAAACACGCAGCTCTTTTGTGATTTTAGGGTTGATGCCACCCCGAGTCGCATGTGAGGGCCCTACGGGGCTGTGTGTGTGTGTATGTGTGTGTGTTTTTTTTTTTTTTTTTTAATGCCCTTAAGCTCTGTTCGTATAAATGTCCCACCTCACAGGGTCATGATACGACGCGCCCCACAAACCTGAGCTGTGTCGCGAACCAAAAATATTTACGTGTTGTATGACGAAGCCGTTGTATCACAGTTTCGGAGACAAGGTCTCCGGTTAGAAAGCTGCCGGACCTTTTTTGCTCACGCCTCTAGCGGGGCGAGGACCCTTTTTGGGTTGCGTAGCAACCTTTTATAATCGGTCGGTTAACCGATTGTGGTGGACCGATATAGCACTACATATTTTTCTAAATCTTATCGAGATAATAACCCATATTATTGTTTAGGGTCTAATGCATCCTTAACTCTAAAGATTTGTATTATTAGTATTATTTATTTCCACATACGTATTCCTGTTGTTTCTCGTGTATGTATTTGTTATGTTTTCTCTCTTTGTTGTTGTTGTTGTTATTAATATTATTATTATTATTATTACTATTTCTACTACTACTACTACTACTACTACTACTACTACTACTACTACTACTACTACTACTACTACTACTACTACTACTACTACTACTACTACTACTACTACTACTACTACTACTACTACTACTACTACTACTACTACTACTACTACTACTACTACTACTACTACTACTACTACTACTACTACTACTACTACTACTACTACTACTACTACTACTACTATTACTACTACTACTACTACTACTATTACTACTACTACTATTACTACTACTACTACTATTAGTACTACTACTACTACTACTACTACTACTACTACTACTACTACTACTACTACTACTACTACTACTACTACTACTACTACTACTACTACTACTACTACTACTACTACTACTACTACTACTACTATTACTACTACTACTACTACTACTACTACTACTACTACTACTACTACTATGCGGGCTATGGACATTGAAATGGTGAGTGCCATACAAATCTAAGAAGGGTTGAACACGGTTTTACTACGTACGTAGATACTGCTAAAATCAATGCAATTGGTTGCGAAGTGACACAGCAATGACGAAATCTATACTCGTAACAATAACACAATACACATTGATGTCTGCAGAAGCCAAAGCAGTCAGTGGGGTTGGAACGAATGTGATCTAGTGAATGGTATAATCCGGCTTGGTTGCGAAAATGTACAATTACGACAATAATGAATTCTCTACTCTTTACGATAAAAAGCATACCTGTTTCTGTCCACGAGAAACCAAAGCAGACAGCGGGGACAGAACGAATGTGTTCGGGTGAATGGCGTAATCCGAGTCAGTCAACAGCGCGCGTGAGACGCGATGGACCCATACAAGTTGTCTCTCATAGCCTCTCATGATGTACTTGTTATATGTATTTGCCAACGCACCATATGCGGAAAATAAGGGGAAACAACGCATGGAACAATTCGATTTAGCACATTTGTATGCGGACCTAATAACATGATACATTCGCTACGTTATTGCGGACAAGCACAGAGATGTTATGATACGAAGTTCGAATTATGATGGCATATGAATGGCACGATAACCAGTATGAGAATGATAATATATGTACACTTTAATATCCACTATGCAAGTATATTATTGGAATAGAGCATACTACGTAGACTTACCAACTTCACAAGAACAATACGTACTTCATGTCTTTGATTTTGGAGGAATCGACGTAGAGGAAGTCATACGTCTTCCCCAAAGTGAACTCCTTGGCAGTACTAGAGCATTTTTATGTGCTCCAGATTGGCTTTCCCCATAGAAGCAGCTCCATTACATCGCCATTGCGGTCCGCAAGAATAATGTTGTTTACCATTTCCCGGAGCAAAAATCCGTACCTCGAAGTTGTCACATTCAGTGTTGCAGCGTGCTCCCCGTAAAAGATTCCTATGTTCTGTTATGCGTCGCACCGATACAAAGAGGAATTTGACTTTTCTCTATTCAAATAGGCAGTTTGAACCTAACCGAATTTTTTATATAAAACTTTAAGACGAACCACGCAAACTACCTTATGGAGGTTAACTACAGTTCCTCCCAGACGGACGTGCCACCTAGATTGTGTTTGTTCTGGTGCATTCACCCGCGCGTGGATTCACCGCGGTGCCACCTTGCGTGCATTCACCATGGTGCATGCAGCTTGCGCCATTCGCGCTTCGATCGCAACTCGGGCATCGCCGACCGTTCTTCAGCACGCCGCGTCGCGTTCACACGACGTACCCTTTCCGAGGCGCGTCGAGAAGAATTTTAAAGCCACGATTTCAATCCCTCACCCACGTACTCCCGTACTGGTCGCCGCAATCCCCGCGGCTTCTCTCCTCGCCGCCCTGCCAGCGTCCGCCGCGGCGGCTCTTGCGGAGGAAGCAGCATCGACCGACAGAGTTAAATCCGCCGTCGAAAGCTTAGTATCCGCAGCGGGAGACCTGGAACGCGCCGCGGAGTCAGCAGCCGGAGCCGACAGAGCCCGATCCGCGGTGGGGAGTCTAGTATCGGCTGCAGAGGATTTAAGACGCGCCGCGGTGTCGGCGTACCTAGATCTTGCCGATCGTGCCGCCCCAGCACTAGCACCTGAGGGGGATAAGGCGCAGTTCGGATCGGCGGTGGGGGATGTAGTCTCTGCCACGGGGGACCTGGAGCGCGCCGCTGCGGATATTTTCGGGCGGGCGGTGTCGGTTGAAGAGAGCGTGTCGGAGCAGGTGGGTGTGAGGGAAACCGGGTTACCATGTGGTTACCAAGTGGTGACCTGGGGAAGGGGGGAGGGGGGAGGGGGGAGAGGGGGGGGGGGGGGGGTGTGGGTTGTTAGGAAACGTAGTGGGAGATGTAGTCTCTGCCACGGGGGACCTAGAGTGCGCCGCTGGTGACATTTTCAGGCGGGCTGTCTCAGAGCAGGTGGGTGAGAGGGAAACCGGGTTACCATGTGGTTACCACTCTACCTCCTGTTGCTGCACATATGGGTTAGGGGAACGTTTTCTGGAGCACTGGTTACCATGTTACCAAGTGAATTTCGTTATCTACTGCCCTGTTCAGGCAGGTAGACTCATTGGGTCGGGCACGGAGGCACTGCAGGTGGACACAGCAGGAGTGGCGATAATGGTTGGCGGTGATGCGGCTGGTGCAGGGATGATTTGTGCCCTTTACCCGTGCTGCTGTGTGCTTACTCCCCTACTCACAGGTTGGCAAGCTGCTTGGATCGGGCACGGAAGCAACTCAGAAGTTTCTGGAATCGGGCCCGGAGGCACTGCAGGTGGACACAGCAGGAGTGGCGAGGATGGTTGGCGATGCTGCTGGTGCAGGCATGGAGGCGATTGGGAGGGTACTGGGGGAGGGGGCTCCTGCGTTTGATGGCATAACTGACGGAATTTGGTCGGTGAGTGGATGAGAGACTGGTCGCTTTTGAGTCAACTCTAAAGCTGGTCGTGAGGAAAAGAGACGAGACGGAAGAATTTGGCCAGTGATGCAGCTGGTGGAGGCATGGAGGCGATCAGGAGGGTACCGGGGGAGGGGGCTCCTGCATTTGACAGCATAATGGATGGCATTTGGTCGGTGAGTGGATTGAGTGAGGTTTTTGGCGAGACGATGGTTGGCGATGCTGCCGCTGGTTTTTGTAACATGCAGGATTCAGTCGAGTGGGTTTATGAGAAACTGGAATTCAGGATGGTCGGCAACGTGGTTGGTGCAGGGATAAAGGAGGATCCATTTAACTTCCTTTTCTCCATTACATGGCCACGTCTCTGTTACACTGCCATGTCTCTGTTACACTGCCATGTCTCTGTTACACTGCCATGTCTCCATTACATGTGCATGTCTCATTACACCACCTCTGTGACACAGCAATGCTTCCGATGTTGCTATCAGCAACTTCGTTCATTACGATGCTTGCCAACCGTTCCTCTTTCCATATGTTTCTTTCACCTTCCCTACTCTCCTTCTCCCTCTCCTTCCCTACCCCTTTCTCCCTCTTCACCCTTCGTGAACTCATTCCAGCTCTCTCTCCCAACAAACGGAGCCATCTTCAACACTGTGTCATCAGCATCCTCGTTTGTAACTGCTCCTTTAAGCACAGCGTGGGATGCAGTGCAACTCACTGCAACAAGCTCTGCTCTCCAAACGGTCGCCTTTTATGCCTCTCTGAGCGTCTTGCTGTTGGCGCTGGCCAATCAGCCAAGAGAGTAGGGCAATGCAGATTCGACGAGTTCCTCCTAAGAAAGCCAATAAATTAATTGCATGAGTAGGAAGAATCCGGGAGCAGTTGTGTAAAGCCGCCAGTATTGAGTTTTATCATGCCGCGTCCACGCACCATTGATTTGATTTGTTGCCTACAATTCTTTACTTCTGAGCTTCAACTGTTGCCGATTTCAATTATTGCTTATGAACCTTGCCGAGGACTCCCAGGGCGTGGAACATACAATTCCGAACAGCCTTCGTCCGAACTTCCACCACACTATACCACGCGGATATCCAACTTTTATTCGTCAGAACCGTTTTAGAAAAGCATTTTACCACTCTGTCCGTCCGAACTGCCAGAAGTTCGGAACTGTATGCTCCACTCCACGCCCCCACTTTCGGGTACGGCTGACACCAAGGCATCCAATTTCCATTCGTCAACACCGAGGCATCCACTTTTCCGATACTGTACAGCCGCTCATTTCTGAATCATTTCCTGGCAGCTATGGCTGCTGCTGCTAGTACGACGGCTCCGTGCAACGGCTGTTTGTCGCTCCCGGAACTAACGGCCTCATCGTCCGGCCATAGAACCAGAAATCACGCTTCTCCTGCCTTTTGTAGCTCTTCGTTTGGTCCGTCCCATTTGCGATTCCAGTTGCGTAGATCTGTGACGACGCGCCGGAGGCAGTTTATAACGGGGTCAGGTTCTCGAACCGCGGTTTGCTCGTTCCACGAGTCGCAAATGGGTCAGCCGGACGCGATCAGCGATTTCGAAAAGAGCATTTCGGATGAGGAGTTGCAAGGAATGGTGGAGGAGTCGCTCGTCTGGTCGTCGCTCAGCGGACTAGTCGTCGGCGATCAGACGGTCGAGGTAAGCTAAGGGGGTAATCTGACGGTCGAGATGAAGTCGAACGTTCTTCAGGGATCAGAGGGTCAAGTAGGCTGTTTTGATCCGCCTCAAAGTCAGACGTTTCGAGAAGAGCATTTCCAATGCGGAGTTGCAAGGAATGGTGGTGTCGCTCGTCTGATCGTCGCTCAACGGGCTGGTCGTCGGCGATCAGACGGTCGAGGTAGGCTGCAGGGAAGATCAGACGGTCCAGATCGTTTTTTATAACATTAGACGGTCAATGCTGGATCTCGTAGAGACCAGACAGTCGAGGTAGCCTCTACTCAAGGGGATCGGACGGTCAATCAAGGTAGGCGTCTGATCGGACGATTAAGATTGGCCATTTCCCAGGGAATATGGCGATATGCTTAGACTACGGGTCCTCATAAATCGGACTGTTGACTCCATTTCCAATCTCAAATCATCTCTAATCGTTATACCCTTCCTCCTAAAACTTCTTTTCCTGTCCTCTGGGCTCGGGTTCGGTTCCTGGATCCAGGAATGTGACGGGTACTTGCACCAGGGTTTGGTTCCTGAATCCGACCTGGTGCTTGCACCCGTTCCATCGTGCTGTGGAGCTCGCTCCTCTCTTCAACGATCTGGTCCACGTCCCTTAGCGCACTTGCTCCATTTCTTGTAGTCCCTGGTGCAGGCCTCCTGCCTGCACCTGTGACGCTCCTCCCGACACCGTTTCCAGCTCACCGCTTCCATCGCGCCATGGAGCTTGCACGCTCTCTCTTCTACTAACGGCTTTCATTGTTATTTTTTTCTCTCTCTTTTCTTCATTTTCTTCACAGGACTCGGGGTCGGTCCCTGGAGCAGGCCTGGTTCCTGCACCCGTGACACTCCTTCCAACGCCGTTTCCCGCCAATCTCTTCCATCGTGCCGTGGAGCTTGCTCCTCTCTTCAACGATCTCGTTGATGCCGTCAGCCAAGACGCGGACTTTCTGCAATCCACTCTGGCAAGGTATGAGCTGCGAGGGAAATGCAGTGCCGAGGTACGTGTTGTATGAGAATCAGCTTGCTCCTCTCTTCGACGACCTCAACAATGCCGTCAGCCAAGGCGCCGATTTTCTGCAACCCACACTGGCAAGGTAACTGCTGCGAGCGAGGTGACCGCACTGGCATGGTAACACTTGCAACGTGGTTACACGAATTATGTCTCAACCAATCCAATTGCACCGTGTGTCCCTCATGTTTCTCTCCAATGGTCGATCCAAGATGCAATGCATTGACATGCAACATCTTGCATCTCCCTGTTTCACTGCAGGGCGTTACCATTCCTCAGCACCATGTGTTCCTCTACTTCGCCTATAAACGAGTCATCATGATGAGTCAACCCAAATAAATGCCAACGAGTCGTCAACCCAAATAAATGCCACGCCACTCATTCCCCTGATTTACAGCAGGGCGCTCTCGGACTCCTTCACGGCACTACATGTCCTCTTTTGAGTCGACTCAAAAGATGACTTTTGAGTCGACTCATAAGTCACGGCACTACACTACGTGTCCCCTTTTTTTCTCCGAAGAACGAGTTTTTACTTCACCTGAAAATTTGCAGCACCACCTCCCCCATCCCCCTGTTTCAGTGCAGGGCGTTCTGACTCCTTCACAGCCGGCCTTCTCCAAATACATGCAGAGATTCTCAAGCGCGGAATACGGCAGGTGAGCAGCCTGCAATGCTAGCTGCACATGAAGGGCATTTGAACAGTTCTGCTTTCAGGCGCCTCAAAACTGAAGGGCATTTGAACAGTTCTGCGTTGAGGCGCCTCAAAACTGAAGGGCATTTGAACAGTTCAGCTGAATAGTTGTACTTAGAGCATAGCCGTCCTTCTCCAAGAACATGCAGAGATTCTCACGCAGGGAATACCGCAGGTGAGCAGCCTGCGAGCTGCACATAAGCAGCATCTGAGGTGTAGTTCAGGTGGATATAAGCACGTAGTATACACATAGCTGGGCTACTCCAAGAACATGCAGAGATTCTCAAGCAGGGAATACAGCAGGTGAGTGAGCTCGAATGCTTTTTGAGTTCCAGATCCATGTGGTTCGTATTCGTTCACGCTTTGAACCACAGCAGGTAGATATCGAGACGGCACCTGAGTTGGATTTAGAGAATTCTCAGAAGCCAGCTCTGCTCATGTGGGGAATGCATGCAGTGCAGCAGACAGGGGAGTTCGTATACTGCAGGTGGAGCTCAACACACTGCCTGTTCTCCTCACTATCCCCCTCCCCTTCAGCCCATAAGGCTGGGCATGCACCGGTCAGACTACATGCTGGACACCGTTACAGGGAGCATACTGCAAGTGGAATTGCGGCGTATGGTCAACCCTACCCTCATAACTACCACCCCTTGTCTTCCCCCCTGCCCGCTCCCCCCATATGCCACCCCATCCTCCCTTAGCCCATAAGGCTGGGCATGCACCGGTCAGACTACATGCTGGACACCGTGACAGGGAGCATACTGCAAGTGGAGCTGAACACCATCTCTTCCTCTTTCCCTGGTCTTACATCCCGAGTCACAGACCTGCACAGGTGAGTGTGGGAGGTGGAGGGGGGGAGGAGAGGGGGGGAGGGGGTGTTGTTGGGCATTCGAGTGCGTTAGCTGCTTGCTACAAGTGGGGCTGAACACGATCTCTTCTTCGTTCCCTGGCCTTACAGCCCGAGTCACAGAGCTGCACTGGTGGGTGTGGGAGGTGGAGGAGAGGGGGGGGGTGTGGGGTGGGAGTTGGGCATTTGAATGCGGAAGGTTCTTGTTGCAAGTGGGGCTGAACATTATCTCTTCTTCGTTCCCTGGCCTTACATCCCGAGTCACAGAGCTGCACTGGTGGGTGTGGGAGGTGGAGGAGAGGGGGGGGTGTGGGGTGGGAGTTGGGCATTTGAATGCGAAAGGTTCTTGTTGCAAGTGGGGCTGAACATTATCTCTTCTTCATTCCCTGGCCTTACATCCCGAGTCACAGAGCTGCACTGGTGGGTGTGGGAGGTGGAGGAGAGGGGGGGGGGTGTGGGTTGGGTGTTGGGCATTTGAATGCGAAAGGTTCTTGCTGCAAGTGGGGCTGAACATTATCTCTTCTTCGTTCCCTGGCCTTACAGCCCGAGTCACAGAGCTGCACTGGTGGGTGTGGGAGGTGGTGGAGGAGGGGGGGGAAGGCATTTGAGTGTGAAAGGTGCTTGCTGCAAGAGGGCTGGACACCATCTTTTCTTCATCCCTAGGAGACTTGTTGCAACGGGACCTCGTTTTGAGGCGCCTCAAAACTGGACCTCACTAGAGATTCCTGCTGCTGCTAGTTCTCCTAGTTTTCTTTTTGAGGTGCTCTCTTCAAGAACACTGCAGCAACAGGCGTCGCTGATATACCTTCTCTGCCCCCCCGCTCCTCCATTCTGACCCATTCTGACCCTCCTGGGCCTCCCCTACCGAAATGAACAGGCTCATGGTGGCTTTTGAGGCGCCTCAGAAGTAGGCTCCTCCATTCTGACCCTCCCCTCCCTACCGAACTGGGCAGGCTCATGCTGGGAATGATTTTTGAGGCGCCTCAAAAATCATGCTGGGAATGTATAGCGAACTGGGCAGGCTCATGCTGGGAATGTATAGCGAGAATGTCGACTGATCCATGGATGCTATGCCTCTCATTACAGCAGCTACAGATATGATAATCTACCCTCCTCCTCCCCTCCCCTCCCCCCCTCCTCTCCTCTCCTCTCACCCCGCCCTCCATGCTGAATGTAATGATGTACTCCCTAAATCCTCCTCCCCCCCGGAGTCATTTTTTAGAATTCTAAAAATGTACTTCGCCCTCCATGCTGAATGTAATGGTGTACTCCCTAAATCCTCTTCCCTCCCCCCCCCCCGGCCCCCCCTCCCTTTGCCGTCCCCGTCCCCCCTGACAGGCACATGGTGGGAATGTATGGCGAGAAGGCTGGTCTATCAGTGGATGCCGTGCCTGTCAACACTGCAGCAACGAATATGATGACAAACTCCCTACCTGCCCCCTCCCCCCTCCCCCCCTTCGCCCCAATTGTAGGCACATGGTGGGCATGTATTGCCAGAAGGCTGGTCTATCAGTGGATGCTGTGCCTGTGAAGACAGCAGCAACTGATGAAAGGATTTACTCCCCCCCTCCCTCCTCCCCCCCCCCACCCCTTTGCCGTCCCCGTTCCCCCTGACAGGCACATGGTGGGGATGTATGGCGATAAGGCTGGTCTATCAGTGGATGCTGTGCCTGTCAACACTGCAGCAACGGATATGGCAGATGCCCTGGCAGCAGCATGGAGGGAACATGGAGATGAGAGGTAGGACAAGCTCCTGTATGGTAAGGCAAAGTGTTTTCTTAGCTGTCGTTGAGTCAATTAAGCAGATGCTTATATGTCAGATGCCCTGGCAGGCATCTGCATGGAGGAGTTAGGGGGGTGCAAGGTGTACACAATCTGTACATATACACGTCAATGGACTGCCTGGTGAACGTAGACCGATTCCTGTGAGCAGCAGATTCGATTTTTTCTTCTTCCCCCTCCCCCCCCCCCCCCTCCTCCTCCCCCCTCTCCCCGGCCTGCTTGCTTGAGTTTTTTTTCGTTCGAACACCTGCACTGCACCTGCATCTCTCTGTTATTCAATTCAACCCCTCATCATCCCTCGTTCATCCCAACGCAGAGCAGCTCTCTCAGGAATTGACAGTGGTGCAGAGGCCCGAGCGCCACGTGTGCGACCAGCACTGCCTCTCTCCGACCACTTCCGCTCTCTCTTTCCCCAACCCCTTCTCGTGTCAACCCCAAACTCCCAAACCCTGCCTCTGAGCAGCTCCCTAGTGTTGATGGTGGTGCAGAAGCCCTGCCCTAGCAGCTCCCTTGTACTCATGGTGGTGCAGAAGCCCGAGCGCAACATGTACGACCAGTACTGTCTGTCACATCACCTGTACGGCTGCCCAACCACTTTGTTGTGATCCTCCTGCCGCTTTCCTCTCGCTGCCCCTGAACCCCACCCCAGAGCAGTTCCCTAGTACTCATGGTGGTGCAGAAGCCCGAGCGCAACATGTACGACCAGCACTGCCTGTCGCAACACCTGTGGCAGAGGCATGGCATTCGAGTGCTGAGGAGGAGCCTGCAGGAGGTGCAGCAGCAGGGGGCGATTACAGACACCTTGGATCTGAGAGTGTGAGTGTATGTGTGGGTGTGTGTGGGTGTATGTGGGGGTGTGTGTGTGTATGTATGTGTGTGTGTGTGTGGGTGTGTGTGTGTGTGAGAGTGTGTGTGTGTGTGTATTTGAGTGTGTGTGTGTGTATGCATGTGTGTGTGAGTGTGTGTGTGTGTGTATGTGTATGTGTGTGTGTATGTGTGTGTGTATGTGTGTGTGTGTGTGGGTGTGTGTGTATGCGTGTGTGTGTGGGTGTGTGTATGTGAGTGTGTGTGTGTGGGTGTGTATGTGAGTGTGTGTGTGTGTGGGTGTGTGTATGTGAGTTTGAGTGTGTATGTGAGTGTGTATGTGTGTATGTATGTGTGTGTGTGTGGGTGTGTGTGTGTGTGCGAGAGTGTGTGTGTGTGTATTTGAGTGTGTGTGTGTGTGTATGCATGTGTGTGAGTGTGTGTGTGTGTATGTGTGTGTGTGTGGGTGTGTGTACGTGAGTGTGTGTGTGGGTGGGTGGGTGTATGTGTGTGTGTGTGTGGGTGTGTGTATGTGAGTGTGTGTGTGTGTGGGTGTGTGTATGTGTGTGTGCATAGGGGTGTGTGTGTGTGCGTCGGTGTGTGGGCCACGGTGCAACATGTACGGCCACATCAACATCTGGAGCCTAGGTGGGGGCCGTTTTGCATCGTGTCATTCGCTCTCTCCACAGTTTGTTTTGCATCCCCTTCACAGTGCCAGCCAACCATCACCTACCAATCGTGTTCTGCCATGCGTGCTTCCAGAAATCCCTTCGTGCGCAGTCCCCCACATATAGTATTGCGTACGCGCTTCTTCCTGCTTTATGGTTCCCCTCTATCCGATGCACAGTGACGGCCTTTGCATGTCAGTGGTGTATTACCATACCATGCAGGCTACAGCTCCAGTGTCTACCCGGCCGATTGTTTTGTTTTGTTCTGCTTTTTTTTTTTTTTACTCAAGACACACACTCTTCCTTCATTTTTGTTTTCCCCCTATCCCGCACACAGGGACAGCCGCCATTTTTGGGGGCGCGTCAAATTTTTTTTGAGGCGCCTAGAAAATCCCCCCTATCCCACAGACAGGGACAGCCATCACTTATCGGTGGTGTATCCATCACTTATCGGTGGTGTATCCATCACTTATCGGTGGTGTATCCATCACTTATCGGTGGTGTATCCATCACTTATCGGTGGTGTATCCATCACTTATCGGTGGTGTATCCATCACTTATCGGTGGTGTATCCATCACTTATCGGTGGTGTATCCATCACTTATCGGTGGTGTATCCATCATTTATCGGTGGTGTATCCATCACTTATCGGTGGTGTATCCATCACCCGTACCATGCAGGCTTTCACCACTCGTGTTTTACGCTTTTTTCTTTCTTTTTGGGGGGGCACACACACCTCTTCCTCCCCCTGACATCTACCCCTTGTCCCCTTACACAGGGACGGCCATCCCATATCGGTGGTGTATTACCGTGCAGGTTATGGCCCCAGTGACTACCCAACCGATCTTGTAAGCCGTGCTTTCGATCCCCCATCTCTTTTTCACCTTACCAAGCAATATCAATGTGCCGGGTTCTTTCTTTACCATCTGTCTCTTCCTCCATACCAATAGTCTATAACCCATTCTCTTCTCAGTAGCCCTCTGGTTGCTCAACCCCAACCCCCCTACCCAGTTGCCGCCTCCCTCCCTGGGGAGTTGGCTAGCCCGTCTTTTCTGGAGCAGCCGTTAGCCGCCAAGTGTCCACCCACCTTGCTTGACTGGTCCCCCCGTCCTCCTGTGCCTCTCTTCCTTATCTCGCCACCCTGCCTTCTCACCTATAGGTGATTTTTTAGTCGACTCAAAAATCACCTTGCTTGACTGCCCCCCCCCCTCCTCCTGTGCCCCTCTTCCTTATCTCGCCACCCTGCCTTCTCACCCATAGGTGATTTTTGAGTCGACTCAAAAATCACCTTGCTTGACTGCCCCCCCCCCTCCTCCTGTGCCCCTCTTCCTTATCTCGCCACCCTGCCTTCTCACCCATAGGTGATTTTTGAGTCGACTCAAAAATCACCTTGCTTGACTGCCCCCCCCCTCCTCCTGTGCCCCTCTTCCTTATCTCGCCACCCTGCCTTCTCACCCATAGGTGATTTTTGAGTCGACTCAAAAATCACCTTGCTTGACTGCCCCCCCCCTCCTCCTGTGCCCCTCTTCCTTATCTCGCCACCCTGCCTTCTCACCCATAGGTGATTTTGATTCGACTCAAAAATCACCTTGCTTGACTGCCCCCCCCCCTCCTCCTGTGCCCCTCTTCCTTATCTCGCCACCCTGCCTTCTCACCCATAGGTGATTTTTGAGTCGACTCAAAAATCACCTTGCTTGACTGCCCCCCCCCTCCTCCTGTGCCCCTCTTCCTTATCTCGCCACCCTGCCTTCTCACCCATAGGTGATTTTGATTCGACTCAAAAATCACCTTGCTTGACTGCCCCCCCCCTCCTCCTGTGCCCCTCTTCCTCATCTCGCCACCCTTCCTTCTGACCCCCCCCTCCCTGCCTGAGGAGTGGCAGGCCCGCCTCTTCTGGGGCGATCATTGGCTGTCAAGTGCCTGGCCGAACCATTGCACACCTTTTGAGGCGCCTCAAAATGTGCTTTTGAGTGCTTTTGAGGCGCCTCAAAAGCGATCATCAGCTGTCAAGTGCCCGACCGACCATTGCACACCTTTTGAGGTGCCTCAAAAAGTGCTTTTGAGTGCTTTTGAGGCGCCTCAAAGGCGATCATCAGCTGTCAAGTGCCCGACCGACCATTGCACACCTTTTGAGGCGCCTCAAAACGTGCTTTTGAGTGCATTTGAGGCGCCTCAAAAGCGATCATCGGCTGTCAAGTGCCCGACCGACCATTGCACACCTTTTGAGGCGCCTCAAAAGCAATCATTGGCTGTCAAGTGCCCGACCGACCATTGCACACCTTTTGAGGCGCCTCAAAAAAATTCTTTTGAGTGCTTTTGAGGCGCCTCAAAAGCGATCATCAGCTGTCAAGTGCCCGACCGACCATTGCACACCTTTTGAGGCGCCTCAAAAAAGTGCTTTTGAGTGCTTTTGAGGCGCCTCAAAAGCGATCATCAGCTGTCAAGTGCCCGACCGTCCATTGCGCACCACCTTGCCACCAACCACCACACATCAGTCCAGTCACCTTGACATCTCCTCTCCCCTATCCCCCGGGAGTGGCAAACCCACCTGCTTCTCGAGCAATCATCAGCTGTCAAGTGCCTCACTGCTGCATACCACCTTGCCTTATCCCCCCTCAACCCCCCCCCTGTGCCCTGCCTTTCCTTACCACCCCCCTACCTCCCCAGGAATGGCAAGCCCGCCTGCTGCTCGAACGGTCGTCAGCTGTCAAGTGCCCGACCATCTCGTACCACCTTGCTGGGGCGAAGAAGATTCAGCAGCAGTTGGCCCAACCGGGGGTGCTGGAGAGGTGAGAACTGCTTGTCGTCTGAGGTTTCTAGGGGGGGGGGGTCTCATGTGGGTCAGTCCTCAGCCGTCAAGTGCCCCACCATCTCATAACACCTTGCTGCAGGGGCGAAGAAGATTCAGCAGCAGCTGGCACAGCCTGGCGTGCTGGCGAGACTGGTTTTCCTGTGGTGAGACTGAGAGCGGATTATAGGGGAGGGATCTCATCTCATGCGGTTAGTCCTCAGCCGTCAAGTGCCCCACCATCGCGTACCACCTTGTTGGCGCCCAGAATATTCAGCAGCAGCTGTGTTTTATGAGTCGACTCAAAAATAGACTCATAACCCAGCTGTGTTTTATGAGTCAACTTAAAAGAAGAATAGTCAGCAGCAGCTGGCACAGCCTGGCGTTCCAGAGTGGCGAGGGTTCTCTTTTCCATGTCAGGTCAGGTCAGGTCAGGTCAGGTCAGGTCAGATCAGGTCAGGTCAGGTCAGATCAGGTCAGGTCAGGTCAGATCAGGTCAGGTCAGGTCAGATCAGGTCAGGTCAGGTCAGGTCAGGTCAGGTCAGGTCAGGTCAGATCAGGTCAGGTCAGGTCAGGTCAGGTCAGATCAGGTCAGGTCAGATCAGGTCAGGTCAGGTCAGGTCAGATCAGGTCAGGTCAGGTCAGGTCAGGTCAGATCAGGTCAGGTCAGGTCAGGTCAGATCAGGTCAGGTCAGGTCAGGTCAGATCAGGTCAGGTCAGGTCAGGTCAGGTCAGATCCCCTCTCGTCTCCCTTCTCTTTTCCCGAAGCCAGGTTTGTTGCGGACGAGACGTCTCTGCACGCCATGCGGCAATGCTTCGCAGGGCTGTGGAGCCTGGAAGGAAGGGGAGGAGGGAACAGGAGAAGGGCTTAATTTGATCCATTTATGCCCCTCCCTTTCTGCTGTGTCACCCTTTCACCCGAACCAGGTTTGTCTCCGACGAGACCTCCCAGCAAGCCATGCGTTAATGCTTCGCAGGTGTATGGTGCCTGGAGGAGGAGGAGGGAATGGGAGACGGGCTAAAATTGATCCTTCCTGTTCACCTGTACCAGGTTTGTTGCCGACGAGACGTCTCTGCGCACCATGCGGCAATGCTTCGCAGGGCTGTGGAGTCTGGAAGGGGAGGAGGGAACGGGGGAGGGCGATGATGGGACGGCAAGGAGTGCAATCATTGCAGAGGCGATCCGGGAACCAGCGGCGTTTGTGCTGAAGCCGCAACGGGAGGGGGGAGGTGAGTTATCAACAGAATCCACTTCCTGGCTATCTGAGCCTAGAAGAGGAAGGGGAATGGGAGAGGGCGATGATGGGGCAGCAAGGAGTGCGATCATTGCAAAGGCCATTCGGGAGCTGTCTGAGTTTGTGCTCAAGCCGCAACGAGAGGGAGGAGGTGAGTCGTTCAAAGTGTTTATTCCTTCTACTTGAAACTTTTGAGTCGACTCAAAAGTCACCTTCTACTTGCTAGACTCCGCTTGCTGCTCGCCTGGTTGGATCTAATATGTATGTGTGCCGAATCTGCAAGGAAAGGGAGGAGGCTTCTGAGTCGACTCAAAAGCAGACTCATTACACACGGTTTTTTTCAGTCGTCCCAAAAGCGCTTGCTGCTCGCCTGGATGAATCTAATATGTATGTGTGCTGAATCCGCGAGGAAAGGAAGGTTTTTAGAAACAGGAGGTTAGTAATCTGAACAGAAACAGTTTCTGCCCGTTGGGCTACAGCTTTTACAAGGAAATTACCAGGAAGTTGACAGAGCCACGTCAGCAGGGGAATCTAGCAGCATTCACCCAATTCGAAACCATGTCCTCTTCTTGGGTTGTGCAGGCAACAACATCTACGACGAGGAAATTTCCAGGAAACTGACGGAGCTGACAGCAGCAGGGGAGGCGGGGAAGCAAGAGCTAGCGGCGTTCATTCTCATGCAGCGCCTCTTCCCTCCCATGCACCGCTCCGTGCTCATCCGCTGCTGCCATCACAGCTGGAACGATACACTCTCGGAACTGGGCATTTACAGCACATATCTCAGGTGTGTGTGATTGTGTGAGGCATTGAACAGTGGTACCCCTTCTGCCCTCCCACGAGCTAGCAGCGTTCATTCTCATGCAGCGCCTCTCCCCCCCCGTGCACCGCTCCGTGCTGATTCGCCGCTGCCAGCACAGCTGGAACGCCACTTTGTCTGAGCTGGGCACGGCACTTTGAGCGACACTTTGTCTGAGCTGGGCGTTTACAGCACATACTTGAGGTGGGTGTGTGTGAGGTGTGGTTGCAGCAGCAGGGCAGGCAGGGTTGCAGGGGATGGGGGGGGCAACGAGGCGAGGCAGGCAGGGGAAGTAGGGAGGCACAAGCTAACAGTGTTCAATCTACATGAGATGATCCGCCCTGCTTCCCCTGCATGAGATGATCTCATGTAGGTTCAATCTACATGAGATGACCCGCCCTGCTTCCCCTGCATGAGATGATCTCATGTAGGTTCAATCTACATGAGATGATCCGCCCCTCCCTTCCTTCCTTCTCTCTCTTCCCTTCTCCTTTCCTGTCTGCTCCAGGAATGGGCACAGGGTGGTAATCAACAGGGCAGCAGGCCACCTCTAAGAGACCTTCACACAGATGCCTAACCCCCCCTCCTCCCCCCCCTCCCTCTCCCTTTCCCTCTCTCCCTCTCCTTCCACTGCCTCTCTGTATTTTCCAGAAATGGGAACAAGGTGGTAATTAGCAGTGCAGCAGGCCACCTCGTGCGCACCAACACACCTTGACACACGTACCCTACCCCCTTCCCCTCGTCTCCTCCCCTTCTGCTGTCTCCCTGTCTGCTGCAGCAACGGGAACAAGGTGGTAATCAACAGGGCTGCAGGCCACCTGTTGCGCACCAAGACACCTTGACACAGATTCCCCTCCCCCCTCCCCCCCTCTCCCTTATCCCTCTTCCCCTTCCCCCCCTCTCCCTTATCCCTCTTCCCCTTCCCCCCCTCTCCCTTATCCCTCTTCCCCTTCCCCCTCTCTCCCTTATCCCTCTTCCCCTTCCCTTGTCACAGAAATGGAGACAAGGTGGTAATTAACAGCGCAGCTGGCCACCTCTTGCGCACCAAGACTGCAACTTCGAATGAAGGAGGAGTGGCTTCTGGGTTTGCTGTGCTCGATTCTCCTTACCTCGTCTAAGAACAACTGTGTGAATCTAATCATCAACCTGAAGCTACCATACCATATTTGGCCAGATGGGAAACTTGGGGGGTTGAAGCCGCATGCCTCCCCAATGGGGGGCGGGGCAGCTCTTGACCCGCAGCACTTGGTTAAGCACTTTGATAATCACTTTTATAAAACCCCCCTCAGGGATGTTTGGACTGGTGGCAGGCACTCGATGTCGAGCCTTCTGGTACCAGCCAAGGCATGGTACGTATATGGTCCGGATCTCGTCCCAAAGACGCACCAAACTGGTAACAAACAGTCGGTGCTGGCAATCAACACTAGGACACCAGCTTGTAGTGTTCTGTCTCGCACACGGGTGCTGGCTGGCGGCATGTGACATCTCCCTCATTTTGCACAGGGCACATTCGCCCAAGCTGCAGTGCGAGATGCTTGTGCTGAGTTCCACCCACATTCAGTCAGCATACCACCATACGATGATCTGTAGACTGTATTACTTACAACAAAACCTTGAGAAAATAAGTCACCGCAACTAGGGAGGATCACTCACCACAATTTACCTCTGTCCTACAAGTGCCTGACCATGGCAAATGGGTGCGTCATCACATACTACAAACCGCAACCCCGCTCTAATCCTGCCGATATCCGACGTAAAAGACGAGGCATCGGTCCCTGAAAACACATCAGCCATAGCGCATATGACCTTATCGAGCATCGCTTGCACTGTAGCCATGTGGGAGAAATGCGCTTGCTCAAGCACTGCCGCCCATCCCTCGCCCTTGAGGAACTCTGGTTGCCGGACCAGTCGCAGGTTCGGGATGTAGGTACGCAGAACTTGGTCCAGCTGCTTCACCTGCAGAAAAAGAGCATGGGGAGAGGGATGAGAATGGCTTACGGTAGGTGCTTCTGAGACGACTCAAAAGTGAAACGCAGGTATGCAGGAGAAGGCAAGGGGACATAGCTGTGGACAGCAAGCCTTTTTGAGGCGCCTCAAACCTCGGTCCAGCTGCTTCACCAACAGGAAAAGAGGATAGGGAGAGGGATGAAAATGTCTTGGGTGCCTGAAGGCTGAAATACAGGTGGGTGAAGGCAAGGGGACAGGAAGCAGCTCTACATAGGGCCTATGGTGTGGGTGACATATCCCTGTGGTGTGTACATAGCTGCGGACAGGAAGCAGCTCTACTTTAAACAGGACATGACCGAACATGGAGTGCATACGTGGCAGTACAAATTGAAAGAGAACTTTCTATGCACCGTAGGAATATACGTATCATATAGGTACAAACTGCGTGGTACACACACATTTGTTACTGGAATGGCGGGTAGCAGGAGTCTCTGCAGTAAGATACCCATGCCTCCACTCCAGCAGCACAGCATACCAACTCGTCTCACCTCATCATCATTCGTGGCAGTTGCCAAATACAGCGTTGTCAGGATACCAGACCCGACATCCGTATAAAACAGAGGAACTTAAAACCGGCGTTAGTGGACTCTATAGCAGACCAGACCAGACTTCCTTTGAGAATTCTATGAAGCAGCGCTGTCAAAATACCAGACCAGACATCCTTATGATACAAACAGATTCCTTAAAACATAGCATGCTAGTCGGACTCACTCACAGCCTCATTTGTGTCAGTAGCCAGAAACTGCATGCTCAGGTTACCAGACATCATTACGAGTCGTAACAAAAGAAAGAAAGAAAAAAAGAAACAAAAACAAACACACACACACACACACACACACACACCTTGACAAAACGGAATAACGTTCTTTTTTTCCTTCACCTCAGCTTCATTTGTGTCAGTAGCCAGAAACAGCATCATCAGGTTACCAGACATCTAAACGAGGATACCACACAGCATAACGATTGCTCTCACCTCCTCCTCATTTGTGTCGGCAGCCAGAAACAGCATGGTCGGTCAAGTTATCAGAGATCCATTTGAGTTGAGTCTAACGAATAAAACACCAGACATAGGATAACGCCTTGCCGAGTCTAACACGGCATAACGATTGCTCTCACCTCCTCCTCGTTCGTGCTGGTAGCCAGAAAGAGCGTCATCAGGTTACCAGACACGTTACGAGTCGTTACAAAACAACAACTTGATCGAATGGGAAACCACTTCTCACCTCTTCCTCGTTTGTGTCGGTCGCAGAAACAGTGTGGTCAGGTTACCAACCGAATCATTTTCCGCTACTGACAATTCTGTCTCTGAGCCTCAGCCTGTCTCTGAGAATTCTGAAAAACACCCTGTAAAACAGTGTAACGATTGCGGAAACGCCCTTGTCTCACCTCCTCCTCGTCTGTGTTAGCAGCCGGGAACAGCGTCGTCAGGTTACCAGACCGGATCATTTTCCGCGCCACACATCAGCCTGTCTCTCAGGATTCTGAAAAACACCCTGTAAAAAAGCATAACGCTTGCGGAAACACCATGTAAAACGCCCTTGTCTCACCTCCTCCTCGTTTGTGCCGGTAGCCAGGAACAGCGTGGTCAGGTTTTGAGTCGACTCAAAAGCAGGTTACCAGACATTGTTACGAGCCGTCATAAAATGCGTTACTGCTCTTTCTCACCTCATCCTCATTTGTGTCGGTAGCTAGGAACAGCGTCGTCAGGTTACCCGACCGGATCATTTTCCGCGCCACGCATCGACCTGTCTGCTCCACCGTCAGATGCGATCCAGGGTCCTTGAAACTGTTAATCAGGTCCGTCCGTCTCCAGTGTATTGCCATGTACCGCCCAACCAATGCACTGATGCCGTCCCCCCCCCTGCCGCTACTTTCTGCTGTGCCAGTTTCCGTGCTGCTGCTGCTGTCTGTGCTGCTGCTTGCTGTGCTGCTGCTCGCACCACTGCTACTGTCACTGCTGCTGCTATTTTTCACTTCCCATTCCCGGGGCAGCCCCTGCAAAACTTTCTCCCTCACAAACGCATCCGCCGCTTCTAAAATCGCTGGATGCGGTTGGACGGCCAGCGGGTTCGGGCAGCCCGGAAGCCGAACAAACGGGAGGTCTAAATTATTCATGTAAGACCCATCCTCTGTCTTAGAAGCATCCAGAATTGTCGCTCCGAGATCACTAAATGTGATCAAGCGAGCCGTAGGCAGTAGCATGGAGTCTATTTGATGGAAATCAGTGATGTTGATTGGATGGCTCGGGTGGAACCCTCCGTTCGTCCACTTCAGGTTCGGCGAGATGCCGATCCCAGCCAGGTTCGGCATGCGGTCCGGGACGCCCATGTCCTCTTGGTTGTAGCAGTGGCCAACGAAGCACACAATCTGGTCCAGATTCACCGTACCATTCCACTCCCCCTCTGACCCATCAACCACCCTCCTCGCCCTCTCTTCCCCTAGCATATCGTCTCTGGAGATCACCGTGCGGGGCCCATAGCAGCGGCGCGTGTGGTTGACGTCAAAGTATGCGCGGCGCTCGTAGTTGAGGTGGATCTCGCCTGCATGGAGAGGAACCACCAGCGTGCGGTTTAAATACCCCGCAGCGATCAGGTAGTTCTTGATGCACCGCACGCGGTTGCTCATCTGGTGGGGTGGGATGGGAAGGGGGGGGGGGGGACCGGGGGTTGACGTGGAAGCAAGCGCGGCGCTCGTAGTTGAAGTGGATCTCGCCCGCGTGGAGGGGCACCACCAGCGTGCGATTTAAAAAACCCGCAGCGATCATGTAAATCTTGATGCACCGCACGCGGTTGCTCATCTGGTGCAAGGGAGGGGGGGGAGGGGGAGGGTGGGGTGATGGATGGGTGGGTGAATGGGAAGGGGCAACACTTGTGATTCCGGCGCTCATAGTTGAGGTGGATCTCGCCCGCGTGGAGGGGCACGACTAGAGTGCGGTTTAAATACCCTGCGGCAATTAAGTAGTTTTTAATGCACCGTACAGGGTTGCTCATCTGGTACAAGGGAGAGGAGGGGGAAGGGGAAGGGGTAAGGGGGAAGGGGGAAGGGGCACCACTTGCGATTCAGGCGCTCGTAGTTGAGGTGGATCTCAATAGCCAGCGGAGATCAAGTAGTTCTTAATGCACCGCACAGGGTTGCTCATCTGTTACAAGGGAGAGGAGGGAAGGGGGAAGGGGGAAGGGAGAAGGGGGAAGGGGGAAGGGGAAGGGGCAACACTTGCGATTCCGGCGCTCGTAGCTGAGGTGGATCTCGCCCGCGTGGAGGGGCACGTCTAGAGTGCGGTGCAGATACCCTGCAACGATCAGGTGGCTCTTGATGCACCGCACTCGGCTGCTCATCTGGGTGAATGGGAAGGGGGAGAGCGGGAATTGTGAGGTGGATCTTGCTCGTGTGGAGGGGAGCCGCCAGCGTGCGGCTTAAATACCCTGCTGCAATCAGGTGGTTCTTGATGCGCCGCATGTGGTTGCTCACCAGGTACAAGGGGCGCTGGGGGGGGGGGGGAGGATGGGGGGTTGGGGGGGTTGTGGAGAGGCACCACCAGCATGCGGTTTGAATAGCCTGCGGCGATCAGGTAGTTCTTGATGCGCCGCACGCAGTTGCTAATCTGGTGGTGGGGGAAGAAGGCGGTGGGCGTATGTGGTTATTGGGGGGGGGGGGGAGGGGAAGAGTGTGGTTGTATTGGGAGGGGGTTAGCTGGGGCGGGTGGGGTAGGGGGGGGGGGGGGGGTGGGGGGGGTGGAGGTCGGTAGGTGGGTGGGTTGGGGGGTTGGGGGAAGGGTTCGAGGAAAGAGTGGGACAACAGTGTGATTGAGTGCGGTTGAAGTAGCCCACGTCAATCAATTAGGTAGTCCTTAAAACACATGTATGCTCTTAATTTCCCCACTTCCCGCCCTCCCCCCCTGCCCCCCTCCCTCTCTCCCAAATCCCATCACGTGTTCTCCATGGCAGTCAGTCCATGATGACCACATATCTATTTTCCTGCAGCGCTGCCATGCGATGGGGGCCGGGGCCCATGCTGTGTACTTTTCTCCCCTCCGACTCCTCTCACCCTCCGTGCTCTCTCCTTATTTCCCCGCTCCGCCCGTCCAAACGCCCTCACCTGGTTCCTATGGCAGTCCGTCAGTACGTATTTGCTCCCTCTTATCACTTACCGCCAACCGCAAACAGCGGTTGCTCCCCCCTTCTCCCTACCCAATCCCCTCTCCTGGTTCCTATGGCAGTCCATCCGCACATATTTGTTGTCCTGCGGCTGCCAGGCGATGGGGCCCACTGGAATGCTCTTTTCTACCTACCAATCACTTCCAAAACGTGCCCCAAATCCCCTCACCTGATTCCGGTGGCAGTCCATCAGTACGTATTTGCTCTCTCTTATCACTTACCGCCAACCGCAAACAGCGGTTGCTCCCCCCTTCTCAATCCCCACCCAATCCCTACCCAATCCCCTCACCTGATTCCGGTGGCAGTCCATCAGTATGTATCTGTTGTCCTGCGGCTGCCACGCAATGGGCCCCACGTTGTACAGCTTGTCGTAGCTCTGGCTCTTCTCACACACGCCTGCCGCCACCTTCTGCTTGTCGTCCTCCGACTTCTCCTCCTTAGTCACTGGCTTCACCCTGAGAAATGGGAGGCAGACCAAAATTCAAGGCAGAGGGATAGGCACAGAGAGAAGCACAACAGTTCCCTGGCTGTTCTCACACACGCCTGCTTCCACTTTCTGCTTGTCGTCCTCTGACTTCTCCTCCTTAGTCACTGGCTTCACCCTGAAGGCGTGAGAGTAGCGGTAAGAAGAGAGAGCATTGAGGGTACTTTCCTTCTCACACGCGCCTGCCGCCACCTTCTGCTTGCCGTCCTCGGATTTCTCATCCTTAGTCACTGGCTTCACCCTGCGAATTAAGAGGAGAGCCGCAGAAGTGAAGGGCAGAGGTGAATGCAGAGAGAAGCGCATCTGTTGGTCTGTTCTCTGGCTCTTCCCTCACACACGCCTGCCGCCACCTTGTGCTTGTCGTCCTCGGATTTCTCATCCTTAGTCACTGGCTTCACCCTGAAGGCGTGAAGGTAGAGGTGGGGGAAGAGGAAAGGACGGAGTTTGAAAGAGAGAGAGAGAGAGAGAGAGAGAGAGAGAGAGAGAGAGAGAGAGAGAGAGAGAGAGAGAGAGAGAGAGAGAGAGAGAGAGAGAGCACTGAGCGTCCTTTTCCTTCTCACATACGCCTGCCGCCACCTTGTGCTTGTCCTCCTCGCATATCTCCTCCTGGGTCACCCGCTTCACCCTGAGAGGCAGAGGCGAAAGGCTGGTAGGGGCAAAGGTAGAGACACGGACGATAGGGAGGTACAGGCACAGGGAGAGAGGCAGGGAAGTGGACGGGAGCGAACTCACCCACTCCCTCACTCACTCACTCGCTCGCTCACTCACCAGTCGAGTCTGATTGGTCGGCTGGCAGCCCCTGCATCCCCAGAAACATCTCTCCCAGCTTCTTGATTCTGCTCCTCCCCATGCTCCTTCTCCTCCTTTCCATCTTCAGTGACCTGAACTCCATCGCCCCCTTCACTGCCTCCAACTCCCGACCCCACTTCAGTGTCTCTAACCCCATTGCCCTCCTCATGCTCCTTCTGAGTTTCTCCCTCCACCCCTTCCTGGCTCCTCCCTCCTGGACCCTCCTCTCCTCCCGTTGACGGGGTCGGCGCCTGTGTCAGATTCTCCGGCTGCGTCAGCCCACCGTCACCCTCTGACGATGACGTCATGATCTGCGTCAGCTCGTGTCGCACCTCTGACACCCGCTTCAGCAGGTCGCCCCTGTCGTCCCCGCTGCTGACGTCAGCAGCCGCCGTGCTGACGTCACTGCTGCTGCTGACAGCCCCGTTAGTAGCTATCCTCTGTTCCGCCAGGGTGTCGTGAATCTCTCTCTCAATAGTCTCAACCCGGCCGATTCCAGACTCATCTACTACCGATTCTTGCAATAACCGCCTCCTCTTCCAATTTCTCAGCCCAACTCCCATTCCTCCTGTTTCTTGAACTATCAATGCTGTATCCTCCTCTACTTCGACTGCATCCTGGTCTGAGTCGGCTTCGTTTTGCCCCCAAAAATCCTCGCCCTTCGTTTCCTGAGCCAAATCCCCGCTCCTTTGAACAACCTCGAAAACCTGAGACGACGTTTTAGGCGACTCAAGCCTACCCTGAGCCAAATTACTGCCTCTCACGCTCTCGTGCGACCCTCCTATCAACTTCAACGGCAATGCAGGTAATCCTGCTAATCCCGTACCTGATAGCACTTCCACCTCGGACTCGCCATATCCCGACTCACCACCCCCCGTTTGCCCTAAAAGTCCACTCCTCTTTCTCAATCCAGCAGTAGACCCCCTACTGACGCCGGCCTCTCCCACCTCCGACTCGCCATCTGGCGTTGGCTCTAAAAGTCTACTCCTCTTTCTCAATCCAGAGTTCGATCTCCTACTGAAACCGACGTATCCTACCAAAGACGACGTCTCGCCTTCTGCCGACTCACCACCCGCCGTTTGCCCTAAAAGTCCACTCCTCTTTCTCAATCCAGCAGTAGCTCCCCTACTGAACCCGACCTCTCCTGCCAATTCTCCTCTAGTTGCGAACCCCTGATCCAGCCACTGTAACGATAAGATTATAACGAGGATAGCGCACGCTATCCGCAGGCGACAACTCATCCCTGCATCTGCTGCTCGTAGCCGACGGCGTCGGTTTTAGAACCCTTTTTAGGCGTCGATGCTCGTCCCTTCGCGTGAGTCCGCTAATGAAGCAATTGTAGAACAACGCTCACTTAAGTAAGTGGAAACGATGAAACGCTCAGAAGCGGGGTTGTCGAAGCACAACGGATGAACAGGAGAGAACAATGGACCACTTATAACCGCTGGACCAGACTAGCTGCTGATGATGATTCCGGCCTTCAATCCAGCAACGTCGTCATCGCGCCTATCGCACAATGGGACCGGCCATCCCCCTCATCCTAATCTGTCTAACTACAGTCCAGCGGTGATTCCTATGCTCCTACAACCTACCGCTTCAAGTCTGGCGCTCGCTGGCCGTCATCGCGCCAATCGCGTGAGGCTGCCAACCAGCAAACCTCAACCACAGAAATACGCGGGAAGTTGGTCGAAAAGCTCGAGGTTCTGATGGGTTTAAAAAGGCTGATAGCTACACTGCAAAACATCGAAGAGGAAATTTACAACGTTGGAATACCATGTCCCCAAACTAAGTCCACCATAACAAGAGCCAAGAATTAGTTTCTTATGAACATTAAGTATGCAATACATCAGGACAATCAATGTGACAGTAACCAACCCGCTCTTAATGTAAGTATCCATAGCACCCACAAATATAAAATGGCAAACTTTTAGTTATCTAGAACACTACCGTGTCCAGCATCGTACCTAGAGTCTGCACAATATTGGAGGACATGAGTGTGGACACATGCTCCTCCAGGTGCTTCTTGGCGTCTTGCCTCCCCACACTCGCAATAGCAAACTTCTCACTTGACAAGGTATCCTCCTCCTGCACCGCCTTGTTGTACTTCTGGGCCAGTTCCAACATGTCCTGTTGAGCAATAGGGAGGGGGGGGGCGTGGGGGAGGAGAGGGGGGGGGGGTGGGGGGGTTAATAATACGTCCAAGGCGCCTCAAAATAGACAGGGTATCCTCCTCTTGCACTTGGAAAAAGACAACGTGCCAAACCACCAACAGAGCCTTGTCCACGCAATCTGCTCATTGCTGTGGCTCTCAAAAGGCTGCAGGGTGAGCTGTCGTGCTTCTCCCCTTTCTCCCTCTCTTCTTAGCTATCCTTCCTCCCTGCCCTCCTTCTTCCTTTGTCCATTCCGCCTCTGGTAGGTGATGACTGCTGCCGTGGGACCAAGCGCTCTTGTCGTTACAAGCCTCTTCCTGGCTGCTCAGATCCACTTAGGACCGAATTCCCGTACTGCTAGACCCTAGTAGGCGTAGAGCGTAATTGCAGTATAGTAGGAAAACTTACAAGCGAGAAACGATAAGCCTACAGAGTCCCATTCTATTTACACTTCCCTCTCTCCTGCTCCACTAAACTTCTTCCCTTCCTCCCCTTGGGAACTGAGATTCCCTTGACACATCTTTGCGTCAGATGGGGCCTCTGCTGACGCCCTCCACCTCCTTCCTGCTCGCGCCTCGAAGTTTTGATGTTCCATTATCCCCGCGCCTCGATCCCTTCGCTCATTCATACTTTGTACAGTGCAGTACTGTACCTCTCCCTCTCGCACCTTATATTTCAATTATACATGCAATCTCTTTCCCCCAATCATTCTCTACTACACTCACCTCTTCCCCTGCTGCTGTGTTAACCGTGGGAAGGCTCATGCCTTTCCACGGGTAACGCGACAGAGCCCATGCGCCCACATAGTCTGATCCTTGTTCACCCAACAATAGCCACACTGGTGAGTCGTGAACACCCCCCTCCAGTGCTCACCTGCACAATCTGCCCGTTCCTCCTGCTCTGGTGCAAAAAACGGCTGCAGGGTCAGCCCACTCGTCCACATTATACCACATGTGATGTTCCTGTACACATATGGCGGTGGGTGTGATGTCCCGCCCACTCGTTCCTGTATCCAGTGACAGCGATAACATTGAAGTGATCACCTGCACAACCCTCCAAAGCTCACCTGCACCATCTGCTCGTTCTTCCTGTTGGGGCTCTCGAACGGCTGCAGCAGGAGCCGGTGCTCCCACCTCTTCCCATAACTGATCCCCTCTGACCCAAAAACGCACAAGTGTTGCTAAGCTAAAGGGGCCTTACCTGCACGATCTGCTTCTTCTTCTTGTTGTGGCTCTTAAACGGCTGCAGCGTGAGCCCAGCTCACGTGCCCACTTTGTACTAGAGCTGAAGACTTTGACAGCTGGCCTGCACGATCTGCTCGTTCTTCTTGTTGTGGCTCTCAAACGGCTGCAGAGTGAGCACGTGCGCCTACTTCATTTGAATAACGAGCCCTAAATGACCAACCCTCACACATACATCACGGTTGCTACTAAAACCAACCCTCACCTGCACGATCTGCTCGTTCTTCTTGTTGTGGCTCTCGAAAGGCTGCAAGGTGAGCCCGTGCGCCCACTTTGTATGAGAGCTGACCCCTGTGGAGAACATTGCTAATTGACCTACACACTGCTCACCTGCACGATCTGCTCGTTCTTCTTGTTGTGGCTCTCAAACGGCTGCAGAGTGAGCCCATGCGCCCACTTCTTCTTGTGCAGGTTGAGCAGCATCTTCTCCTCCAGCTCGTTCTTGCGGTAGTTGATGCCAATCGAGTAGTAGTGCCGGTTCAGGCCGTGGATCAGAGCCTGGAGGAACGTACAGGACGGGAGAGGGGGAGGGTCAAGAGCAGGTCGAGCAGCATCTTCTCCTCCAGCTCGAGTAGTAGTGCCAGTTCAGGCCGTGGATCAGAGCCTGGAGGCAAGGGAAGACGAGAAGAGAGGATGGGGGAGAAGGACCTCAACAAGGTCCTCAACTACTTCCTCAACAAGGTCCTCCACTACTTCCTCAACAAGGTCCTCAACTACTTCCTCAACAAGGTCCTCAACTACTTCCTCAACAAGGTCCTCAACTACTTCCTCAACAAGGTCCTCAACTACTTCCTCAACAAGGTCCTCAACTACTTCCTCAACAAGGTCCTCAACTACTTCCTCAACAAGGTCCTCAACTACTTCCTGGATGGACGGCTTGTGTGTGAGGCAACCATACCTGGATGGACGGCTTGTGCAGGTGCCCCAGGTTGGACGTGGTCTGCCTGGGCTCCTGCCCCAGCATCATGGTCAGGGAACTTACTTTTGAGGGTCATGCCTCAAATGCCCCAGCGTCAGGGTCAGGGAACTTATCCCAGCACACCCCGTCTAAGCAGGCGCTTGAATTTTCCATACCTGAATTGATGGCTTTTTGAGGCGCCTCAAAAATACCTGAATTGATGGCTTTTTGAGGCGCCTCAAAAATACCTGAATTGATGGCTTTTTGAGGCGCCTCAAAAATACCTGAATTGATGGCTTTTTGAGGCGCCTCAAAAATACCTGAATTGAGGGCTTTTTGAGGCGCCTCAAAAAGCCCTGAATTGATGGCTTTTTGAGGCGCCTCAAAAATACCTGAATTGAGGGCTTTTGAGGCGCCTCAAAAATACCTGAATTGATGGCTTTTTGAGGCGCCTCAAAAATACCTGAATTGATGGCTTTTTGAGGCGCCTCAAAAATACCTGAATTGAGGGCTTTTTGAGGCGCCTCAAAAATACCTGAATTGATGGCTTTTTGAGGCGCCTCAAAAATACCTGAATTTATGGCTTTCTGAGGCGCCTCAAAAATACATGAATTGATGGCTTTTTGAGGCGCCTCCAAAATACCTGAATTGATGGCTTATGCAGGTGCCCGAGGTTGTAGGTGGTCTGCCTGGGCTCCTGCCTAAGCATCATCGCCAGTGGGTTGAACAACCTGTTTGAGACAACGCTCAGCTTGAGAGCATGGACCGCAGGTATGCCAACAAATCAAGTACCTGGATGGATGGCTTGTGCAGGTGCCCCAGGTTGGACGTGGTCTGCCTGGGCTCCTGCCCCAGCATCATGGTCAGCGGGCTGATGATAGCACAGCTGTGCACTCAGCTGCCGTACCTGGATGGACGGCTTGTGCAGGTGCCCCAGATTGGACGTGGTCTGCCGGGGCTCCTGCCCCAGCATCATGGTCTGCGGGTTGATGAGGCGGAACGCATCGATGACCACCTTGCCCTTCACAGACTGGATGGGGTCCACCACTACTGCCACAGCGCGCTGGTTCAGCGCCTCGAAGCTCTGAAAGGAAGGGGAAGACAAAAAAAAAGAGAGTGGATGGAGGGGGGAGAGAAAAGTGTCGACGACCACCTTGCCCTCCACGGACTGAATGGGATCCACCACCACTGCGACTGCCCGCTGGTTCAAGGCTCCAAAGCTTTGAAGAATGGGAAGGAGTAAGTTTAGGGGGTATGGGAGATGAGAGACGGCGTGGAGAGAGGAGGGAGGACGGGGAGGTGTCGATGACCACCTTGCCCTTCACGGACTGGATAGGATCCACCACCACCGCCCGCCACTGCGCGCTGGTTCAGAGCCACTTTTGAGTCGACTCAAAAGTCTCCACCACCACCGCCTGCCACTGCGAAGTGGGAGGGGGAGGAACACATAGATGAGCACCTTGCCCTTGACGGACTGGATGGGGTCCACCGCCATCCGCCACTGGGCGCTGGTTCAGCGCCTCGTAGCTCTGAAATAAGGAGAGAGAATGGAGGGAGAAAAAGAAGGATGGGCAGGTGTGAATGACCACCTTGCCCTTCACGGACTGGATAGGATCCACCACCACCGCCCGCCACTGCGCGCTGGTTCAGAGCCAACTTTTGAGTCGACTCAAAAGTCTCCACCACCACCGCCCACCACTGCGCGCTGGTTCAGAGCATCGTGGCTCTGTTGGGGCGGACGAGGGGAGTGGGGGAGGGGGCGAGGGGGGAGGTAGGGGAGGGGGGAGGTGGGGGAGGGGGGAGGTGGGGGAGGGGGGAGGTGGGGGGGGAGGAGAGGAAACGGAGGTGGACTCATCAGGCAAAGGAAGAGGAGGGAGAGGCGGGCGTCGATGACCGCCTTGCCCTTGACGGGGTGAATGGGATCCACCACCACCGCCCGTCACTGCGAAGTGGGAGGGAGAGGAACACATAGATGACCGCCTTGCCCTCGACGGGGTGAATGGGATCCACCACCACCGCCACTGCCTCTAAGCTCCAGTGATAGGGGAAACGGTGAGTGGAAGGAACGGGAAGAGGGGTTTAGTAGGTGGAAGGTGTCGCCGACCACGTCCCATGAATGATGGCGCGAGTTTTGAGGAGCCTCAACACTAAACTTCCAGCATGCGGATTCCAGTGGGCAGAAGGCGTCGACGACCATGTCCCATGACTGAAGGTGCGTGTTGACACCAGGGCCTGAGAACCAAGCTGGAAAGGCAGCACAAACCTTTGCAGGAGCAGGGCCATATGAAAGTGTGTATCCTTCACAAATAAACTTTTAAAACACCAACATCACAAAGTGCATACCTGCTGCGTGTTAATGTCGACGCCCGAGAGCCAGCAGCCGAAGCCTGGATGCGAGTGGTACCAACCCACCACCATCTCAGGCCTGGTGAAGGGAGGAGGAAGGGAGAGGTGGGGAGAGGAAGGAGGAGGGGAGAGGGGGGGAGAGGAAGGAGGAGGGGAGAGGGGGGGAGAGAAAGGAAGAGGGGAGAGCGGGGGAGAGGCAGGAGGAGGGAGGAGGTGCAATGAGAGGGGCGCACAGTTAGACAATCAGCAGCCGAAGCCTGGATGAGACTGATAACAGACCAACACCAGCTCAGGCCCGGTGACTAGAACAAGCGGAAGGAAAACGAAGATAAACCACAACTTCGGATCTGGCAAAGAGACGACAGAGATAGATGTGGACGTCTGATGGCAGGTAACAGTTGTCATTTTGCCTGCCCGTCTTGAATACATCTTTTCACGCGCACACCTGGTGGAGCCAGTCTCTCCACAACCCGATTGCTTAAGCCAGTCTTTCTAAATTCCCGATTGCTTAAGCCAGTCTTTCTCAATTCCCGATTGCTTAAGCCAGTCTTTCTAAATTCCCGATTGCTTAAGCCAGTCTTTCTAAATTCCCGATTGCTTAAGCCAGTCTTTCTAAATTCCCGATTGCTTAAGCCAGTCTTTCTAAATTCCCGATTGCTTAAGCCAGTCTTTCTAAATTCCCGATTGCTTAAGCCAGTCTTTCTAAATTCCCGATTGCTTAAGCCAGTCTTTCTAAATTCCTGATTGCTGGTGGAGCTGGTCTCTCCACAAGCCAGATTGCTTTAGATTGTCAGGAGGAGCCAGTCTCTTTTAAATGATCGACAATGTCGATTCGACATGCCCTTTTCACCTGCCCAGTCTGTTTGAGCATGTCGATCATCTTGGTTTGAAAGAAAAGATCCACCTGCACTCACGCCCGTGCCGCTTTGCGGCATGGCGAACACATCGACACCCAGACATTTGTTCACCTGCCTGCTTGCTCTTTTCACCTGCCCGGCTGGTATCTTCACCTGCCCGTCTGCTTGAGCATGTCCAGCATCCCCGTTTGGAAGACAGGGTCCACCACCTCCACACTCACGCCTGTGCCACACTGAGGCACGGCGAACACGTCGACACCCAAAAGTTTCTCACCTGCTCGTCTGGTACTTTCACCTGCCCGTTCGAATTTCTCACCTGCCCGTCTGCTTAAGCATGTCCAGCATCTTGGTCTGGAACACAGGGTCAACGGCCTCCACGCTCACGCCCGTGCCGCTCTGAGGCATGGCGAACACATCGACCACGCGCACAGTATAGTCATCCACGAATTCACCGAGCATGAGCCCCATGACCTCCATGGGGACACCAGCGCGGCCTGCAAGAGAAAAAGGCAGCAAAGAAACCGGCAGGTGAAAGAGCAGAAGGGCGGAACCATCTTGACATTGTGCACTACCTGCTGATTCGATGTGAGCACATGCTGATGTGAGCACATGCTGATGTGAGCACATGCTGATGTGAGCACCTACTGCTGTGAACACACACTGACTGAAGTGAGCACATGCTGATGTCAGCACATACTGATGTCAGCACATACTGATGTGAGCACATGCTGATGTGAGCACATACTGATGTGAGCACATACTGATGTGGCACATGCTGACGTGAGCACATACTGATGTGAGCACATGCTGATGTGAGCACATACTGATGTGAGCACATGCTGACGTGAGCACATACTGATGTGAGCACATGCTGATGTGAGCACATACTGATGTGAGCACATACTGATGTGGACTGATGTGAGCACATACTGATGTGGCACATGCTGACGTGAGCACATACTGATGTGAGCACATGCTGATGTGAGCACATACTGATGTGAGCACATGCTGACGTGAGCACATACTGATGTGAGCACATGCTGATGTGAGCACATACTGATGTGAGCACATGCTGACGTGAGCACATACTGATGTGAGCACATGCTGACGTGAGCACATACTGATGTGAGCACATACTGATGTGAGCACATACTGATGTGAGCACATGCTGATGTGAGCACATGCTGATGTGAGCACATGCTGATGTGAGCACATACTGATGTGAGCATAACCCCTCCAAACTCAAATTTGACACCTTCTGATGAAAAATCAATACGAACCAAAAAGTGCGGACAGCTCCACGCAAGGTTCGACAGTCTAACAACGGCCACAGACAAATGGCAAACCTTGCGTTGATGAACGGAAACGGAAACGGTAACGGAAACGGCACAACAGCTCCTCCTAAATTGCAAACGAAAAGATGAATCCAACGGCCAGATCGTAACGGAATTTCACTCATCGACTGACAAACTACGCTTTTCACTTAGTGTTCTCGGAGGAAAGGTTGTAAAGAGCAACGAACCTGACACATCCGATCGAGAATCTGACGCAAGAAAGTGAGAATCTCACGAGGCGTTTGATAATTTTCACGAGAGCGAGCGACGAAAAGTAGACCCGCTCTGACGTGTCAACCATCGTTAGGAGCATCTACTATCGCTACTAATCTGACGTACCGTATTTGAGCATCTTCAGTAAGGCGAGCGACGAGAAGTCGACCTGCTCTGACGTGTCAACCATCGACGCATCTTCGATCGCCATTTATCAAACGCACCGTGTTTAAGCATCTCCAGCAGTGCGAGCGACGAGATGTAAACCTGGTCTGACGTGTCGACCATAGGGCGTGTTTAATCGCTACTCTAATTGCTACTAATCAAACGCACCGTGTTTGAGCATCTTCAATAAAGCGAGCGACGAGATGTAAACCTGCTCGGACGTGTCGACCATAGGAGCGTCAGGCTGAGGCCCCATGCCTCCCCCCGCGCTCTGGAATATCCGCTGAAGCCGCTCCATGATCTAAACCCGGCAAACAACCGCCGTCCGATCTGGACTTGCAGATCTCCACGCCCTGACCTGCCAAACGACCGCCGTCCGATCTGGACGTGCGAATCTGTGAATTCGGCTGTCAGAGCGCTTACGGAGGATCCGAATGGCTTCGCAGAAGGCTCAAGGATCGGCTTAGCACGGCTAGAATAAGTAGCTCTGCGAAATACTCGCGATGAATGTACTAACGAGTACTAGCCGACAGTAAGTAGAATCTGAACTCTTCGAGATCACCCCTGCTCGCGAGTGTTTCGAGAATGTGAACTAAGGGAGTTTCCAAAGTTGCTCCAGGTGCGAATTGTGTCACACTTTATACACGGTCATTTCACATACCCGAAACGAGACTCCGAACCAGTGTCCATTGCGACGAATCGATTTTCTGTAACTGGCTTCGTGACCGGATCGTACGTTGTCTCGAACTAAAAACACACATCTCAGGGGGAAATCGCAACTTCGTACACAACAGCACACACAAATTCTGCAGTTTGGACAAAAGACCAGAATTCGTACATTCCAAATTTCGTTACTGAAAGTGAATGTGACTGTGCCAGTACAGTTACTCGAAACGAGATCCAACTTGTGCCAAAATTCTCTGGCAGGAAACTCCCTGAGCGTTTTTACTGTACGGGGTAGTCTCGACATTCGATGCAGTGCAGCTTCTACTTTCGCGTAAAAGAGCGGTAGGTATTCAATCGATATGTACGAAAGAACGGTATTCAATCATAACAAAACAAACTAGAGCCCCCTGAACAAACAAGAAAAGTCATTTGGAGCTTGCCTTACGAAACCAGATGAAGAGCCCCTAAGTCAAGCAAGTGGGGTGCCTTGATTGCACAGTATCAACTCGCTTCAGTGGGTATCGTATACATTTGGATATTAAATTTCCAATATCCCACTTCCCCAACCAACCACCCTCGGCCCAGGCCCCACCCCCGACCCACCCATTTTCCCAGGTGCTTTACCTGGTGCTCTCAACCCCTTTTCCTTGGGTTGGGTGCCTAGTGTCGAATTTTAAGCTTGGAGCAAAGAGACTGCTCCAGAGGCTCGGCCACTGGTGATCAAGTCTCTTATCAGAAATATCTTCTGCTCTGGGTTTGGAATGAAGCCTTCTGGGTCCAACACATGTGGAACGATTCGGTCGCACACCAGTGCTGCTGGTGTGGTTATGCCCTGCCAGATTGAAAACAAGGCATAAGATAGCCGCCCATTCCAGCTCGCACTTTTGCCCGGACCGTAAACTCGAAAAATAATTTCCAACAGGTGATTCTTATCCGTTCTCTCATGTGGCAGTGCATGCACCCGCTTGAACCCACCTTATATCGATTAATATTGATCTTCCTCGCAGATATATCCACGCCTTCATTATTAGGCTTTACAGCAGCATGCGGCTGTAACACCTCCACTCGCCTGGGGTTGAACAGTAACCGACGGTAACCAGCAGCACCCAGGCAGTGGTCTGCAGCTGAGGCGTTTGTTGTGGGGTGGGAGCAGGTGGGAGTGGGCATGCGGTAGACCATCTGCTGGGCCAGCCACTCTTCTCCAGCTGAGGTTTAGCAGGGGTTCAAGGATGGGCGGGGAGAGTAGGTATTAGGTGTAGTGAAATCACATGTTACTTCAGTGGTGGGATGGGGGTAGGAAGGAGTGGGTTTTCTGCTGGGCCAGCCACTCTTCACCGGCTGCGATTGAGGGGTCATATGGGGGAGTGGATTCAGAAGGCACGGGAGAAGGTGCGCATATAGACATGGTTGGTACTGACGTGGCAGCAGGTTGGGGTGCACATGCGATATACCACCTGCAGTTGCAGCCACTCCCCTGCTTCTGGGGTGTAGAGACAAGCGGCCGTGGGACACAAACCAGAGCTCTTCTAACGAGGATGAAAGGACGCACGAATGAAAACGTACAAGAACTGCAGGGAAGCATGCACAAACGTACAAGAACTGCAGGGAAGCATGCACAAACGTACAAGAACTGGAGGGAAGCATGCACAAACGTACAAGAACTGCAGGGAAGCATGCACAAACGTACAAGAACTGCAGGGAAGCATGCACAAACGTACAAGAACTGCAGGGAAGCATGCACAAACGTACAAGAACTGCAGGGAAGCATGCACAAACGTACAAGAACTGCAGGGAAGCATGCACAAACGTACAAGAATGCATGAATGCTTCCCTGCATAGCCTGGCAAGGAGACAAACCAGAGACAAGCCAATTCAGGCAGAGGGTTTGAAGGATTCGAATCGCAGCAAGCCGTGTGTCCTCAACTAGTCTTAGCTAAAAATCGTGTGTCCTCTCTGCAAGAGCAGACCCCTGCATAGTCTGGCAAGGAGACAAAGCAGAGACAAGTCAATTCAGGCATGCATGAGACTCACCTCTGGGGTGTCGAGACAAGCGGCTGTGGGACACAAACCGGAGCCCTTCTAACGAGCAGGAGATGGCTGAGTGCAAGCCTGCATCCTTGATCCAGGGGGTGTCGCCGTTGTCCTCTAAAGCCATGCGCAAAATACACGTGCTGCTTCAGCAAAAACCTCCCCCAAGCAGTGGGTGGAGCGCACAGCTCGATGCTCCACTCGTATGCCAGTGCCTTATTCAGAATGGGCAGGTTTTTGAGGTGCCTCAAAAACCAGTGCCTTATTCAGAATGGGCAGCTTTTTTAGGCGCCTCAAAAATCAGTGCCTTATTCAGTTGTATTTTGAGTCGACTCAAAATACAACCAGTGCCTTATTCAGAATGGGCAGCAGGGACCCAACGTTGCGTAAACTCACCAGAGGGGTTGGGCGGGGCGCACAGCTGGATGTGCCAGTGGGGTGATATGACCACAGATACAGCCAGCCAGGTGGCATTGTCCCAAGTGTCGTTAGCCATGATCGAGACGAGTGCCCCTCTAGAGCCATGCGCAGTTTAGTATTGAGGCGCCTCAAAACTAGAATCCAGTCGGGTGTTATGACCACAGATACAGCCAGGCGGATTTCGCGGGCATCCAGTCGTGAGAATTCTCAAAAACACCCTGCAGATATAGCCAGCCAGGCGGCATTGTCCCTCTAGAGCCATGCGCAGAGACAGCCTTCTGCTGAGCACAAAGGGGATGCAAGGACCCATTGCAGGGACCCATTGCAGGGACCCATTGCAGTTTCATCTCACCAGCAGCGCTAGGGGGAGCGCACAGCTTGATGGTCCACTCGTACGACCCCAGAAATATCCAAGGGGGGTCCTCATTGTCCACCAGAGCCATGCGCAGCAGCAAATTACACGCATCCCTGCATCGACTTACCAGGAGCACTGGGCGGGGCGCACAGCTTGATGCTCCACTCATACGACCCAGGAGATACCCAGGGGGCGTCCTCGTTGTCTTGTAGAGCCATGAGCAGCGGCAGGCGTCCGTTGAACACAAAGGGGAGCTCCTCTAACGAGACAAAGGGGAGCTCTTCTAGAGATGGTAGAACGGGAGAGGAGGACATTTGTGCGCGCACCATATCTTGACCTCTTACCAGGGGCACTAGGTGGGGCACACAGCTTGATGCTCCACCCATACGACCCAAGAGATACCCAGGGGTCGTCCTCGTTGTCTTGTAGAGCCATGCGCAGCAACAGGCGGCCTTTGAACCCAAACGGGCTGCAGGCAGTCCAAGGTGGCCGAGTGCAAGCACGCAGGATATCCCGGCATCTTCTTGCCAGAGGAATAGGCGGGGCACACAGCTTGATGCTCCATTCATACGACCCCAGCGATATCCAGGGAGCGTCCTCGTTGTCTTGTAGAGCCATGCGCAGCGACAGGCGGACGTTGAACACAAAAGGGAGCTCCTCTAACGAGGATAGGACGGAAGGGGAGCACATTCGTGCGCGCACCATATCTTGACCTCTTGCCAGGAGCACTAGGCGGAGCGCACAGCTTGATGCTCCGCTCATAGGACCCCAGAGATATCCAGGGGGCGTCCTCGTTGTCTTGTAGAGCCATGCGCAGCGACAGGCGGCCGTTGAACACAAACGGGCGCTCCTCTAGCGATGATAGGACGGGAGAGGGGCACATTGGTGCGTACTCCATATCTGGACCTCTTACCAGGAGCACTGGGCGGGGCGCACAACTTGATGCTCCACTCGTACGACCCCAGGGATATCCAGGGGGCGTCCTCGTTGTCTTGTAGAGCCATGCGCAGCGACAGGCGGCCGTTGAACACAAAAGGGAGCTCCTCTAACGAGACAAAGATGGCCGAGTGCAAGCATGCAGGATGCATCCCTGCATCTTCTTACCAGGGGCACTAGGTGGGGCGCACAGCTTGATGCTCCACTCGTACGACCCCAGAGATATCCAGGGGGCGTCCTCGTTGTCCTCTAGAGCCATGCGCAGCGACAGGCGGCCATTGAACACAAACGGGAGCTCCTCTAACGAGACAAAGATGGCCCAACGAGAGGTGAAGCGCGTGCGGTAGAGGCAGTCGTTCGTTATAAGCACGTCCAGGTGAGCTGAAAGGCTGTGGGACGGGGGATTGATTGCACGGACAGAGGGAGGGATGGAAAATGTGCTTCGTCTTTAAGGCAGACAGATGGCCCAACGTGAGGCAAAGCGCGCGCGGTAGAGGCTGTCATTCGTTACACGCACGTCCAGGTACATTGCAAGGCTGAACAGTACGGGAGACAGAACAGAAGAGAAGGAGGATACATGGGGCTGGCGGGCGGGCGGGGAGCACAAGGCCAGCACAAGGGGCGGGCGGGCGGGCGGGCGGGCAGGGAGCACAAGGCCTGTAGTGTCGTGTTGATGTGGTCAAGACTTGCAGTCATTCTTGAGAATTCTAAAAAATACAAGCACGTCCAGGTGCGCTGGCTGCAAGGTGTGATATGGCACGAAAGGCATGACAGTAAAAATATCAGAAGCATTAGAGGAAAAGTGTGACAAGCCTATAAGGGGTACAATCCTGGATACCCCTGCCTTGACATGCGGTCTTGAATTCTTCCATAGCAGGTCAACCATATGTCAACCATCAACACGACAGGCCTTAGCAGGACTTGAAATCCTTGCATACCTTCCATCCAGCCCCCCCCAGCCGCACAACTTCCTCTGCCCCTCCCTCCCTCCCGACTTACTGCAACAACCACATGAGGGGTACGATCGTGACCATCCCTGCCTTGACATACGGCCGTAGAGCTTCCCTTAGTGAGTCGTCCACGCCTCCCCAATCGCTCACCAGAGAGCCATCAGCACAATAGTAGACCATCCACCCTTCCCCCTTCCCAAGCCTCAGAGCATGCATCAACACGCCATCCACGCCTCAGGGCATGCATCAACACGTCATCCACGCCTCAGCGCATGCATCAACACGTCATCCACGCCTCAGCGCATGCATCAACACGTCATCCACGCCTCAGCGCATGCATCAACACGCCATCCACGCCTCAGCGCATGCATCAACACGTCATCCACGCCTCAGGGCATGCATCAACACGTCATCCACGCCTCAGCGCATGCATCAACACGTCATCCACGCCTCAGCGCATGCATCAACACGTCATCCACGCCTCAGCGCATGCATCAACACGCCATCCACGCCTCAGCGCATGCATCAACACGTCATCCACGCCTCAGCGCATGCATCAACACGTCATCCACGCCTCAGCGCATGCATCAACACGCCATCCACGCCTCAGGGCATGCATCAACACGCCATCCACGCCTCCCCAATCGCTCACCAGGAAGCTGTCAGCGCCATAGTAGACCATCCACCCTTCCCGCTCTGTCTCCTTGTCCCCAACCCCCCCCTCCCCCCCACCCCCCCCACTTACTGTGACAACCCCATGAGGGGAACGATCTTGAGTATCCCTGCTGTGATGTACGGCCTCAAAGCATGCCTCAACATGTCGTCCACGCCTCCCCCATCGTGCACACGGAAGCTGCCAGCGGCTCAGCGCCATAGTAGACCATCCACCCTTCCCACTCAGTCCCCACCTCTTTCCCACCCCTTCCCTCTCCCCCTCCCCACTTACTGCGACAACCCCATAAGCTGCACGATCTTGACAATCCCTGCTGTGATGTACGGCCTTAGAGCATGCCTGAACATGTCGTCCACAGCCTCCCCCATCGTACACCAGAAAGCTGTCAGCGCCACAGTAGATGACCTGTCCTTCCCACTGTGCCCCCTTCCCCCGCCCAACCCTCCCTTCCCTCTTCCCCTCCCCACTTACTGCGACAACCCCATAAGCGGCACGATCTTGACTATCCCTGCTGTGATGTACGGCCTTAGAGCATGCCTCAACATGTCGTCCACGCCCCCCCCGTCATAGATAAGGAAGCTATCAGCTCCATAGTACGCGAAGAGCTGGATCTGCTCTAGCACTCGCTCCACTCGCACCTGAGCAGAGGAGGGAGGGGCACGGGGGTTGAGGGTGGATAAAGGGCTCTGTTGCAGCCCATCGTGCACGAGGAAGCTGTCAGCGCCATAGTAGGCGAAGAGCTGGATCTGCTCTAGAACCCTCTTCACTCGCACCTGAGGGGGGGAAGGGGAGGAGAGAGAGGGGGAGGTGGAGGAGGGCAGGGGAGGGAAAGTGGGGAGAGGGCTTCAAAGCATCCCATCACACACCAGAGACCTGTCAGCACCATAGTAGGCAAAGAGCTGGATCTGCTCTACAACCCTCTCCACTCGCACCTGAGAGGGGGGGGGGGGGGGGGGAAGTTGGGGGGAAAGGTGGGGGGTGTGGGGAAGGGGCGGAAGGCGAGGAGGACAGGAGGGGGGAAGGGGGGGGAGGGAGGGTGAGAAATTCACAACCCATTGTAAACGAGGGAGCTGTCAGCGCCATAGTAGGCAAAGAGCTGGATCTGTTCCAGCACTCGCTCCACTTGAACCTTAGAGGGGGGAAGGGAGCAGAGAGACAGGGACGGGAGGAGGGAGTAGCAGGACAAGGGAGCAGGAGGGGGGAGGGCTCTATTGCAACACATCGTACATGAGGAAGCTGTCAGCGCCATAGTAGGCACGGAGCTGGACCTGCTCCAGCACTCGCTCCACTCGAACCTTAGAGAGTGGAAACGAGAGGAAAGTGGGGAGAGGGGGATGGGGGAAAGGGGGAGGAGGGGGGGGGGGGGGTACTTAGAGGGGTTTAGGAAGCTGTCAGCACCATAGGAGGCGATGTGCTGGATTTGCTCTAGCACTCGTTCCACACGCACCTGAGGGAGGAACGATGGAAGGGAAGTGCTGGGGGTTGGGTATGGCAGGGTGGGGTATCCAAAATCCAGAGGGCTTTAGGAAGCTATCTGACAGTTAGCCGGAAACTATCTGACAGTTAGCCGGAAGCTATCTGACAGTTAGCCGGAAGCTATCTCACCGTCTGATGGTGAGCCGGTGGGGGAGAGGAGAGGAGTCTATTTTTGAGGCGCCTAAAAAATAGACTCCTCACGGAGGGGTGTAGGAAGCTATCCGACAGCGAGCCAGTGGGGGAGAGGCGTCGGGGGTCAAGAACCAGAAGACCAGCAGAGTCACATAGTCTAATATAGCACATTATCGCACTCAACTGTACAGCACCGCACTGCACTCACCGGTTGGGCGATGAGTTGGGTGCGGACTGTGAGCCAGTGGGGGAGAGGCTTGGGGGGTTCGAGAACCAGAAGTCAGTCAGAGCACATATTAACATACTGCTGATAGCAGAGCCACAGGAACACATTGTATCGCACATTACCACACTGTACCCCACCGCAGATTCGCACTCACTGGTTGGGTGATGAGTTGGGCGCAGGCGGCGGTGAGCCAGTGGTAGAGAGACGTGGGGGGTTCGAGAACCGGAAGACCAGCAGAGCACAGCATCACACAGTCTAGTATAGCACCGCACCACGCTGGACCGCACAGCACGCACGGCACTCCACTCACTGGTTGGGTGATGAGTTGGGTGCAGACTGTGAGCCAGTGGGGGAGAGGCGTAGGAGGGTCGAGAGCCAGGAGACCAGCAGACCCATTCCTCCTTTCCGGAATATCCTCCCTCCTTATAAGCACCTCGTCACCGTGAATAGTGAGGAACAGAGACCCACCTGCCCAGGAGATTGCAACAGAAACCACGTGGGTAGCATTTTTCACCAGCATTAGAAGGAGTGGGAGCACTGGGCACACACTGTACAGTCACAGTCTCGTACAGCAACATCCTGCTGGGGTCCCTAGGAGGTAATCACCCCCCTTTAGAGAGCCAGTTGTTGAATCACTCTATACAACACTCACCAGCGTCAGCAGGGGTGGAAACATTAAGCACACACTATGCAATCACAGTCTCGTACAGCAACACTCTGCTGGGTTCCTAGCAGGATGTAACCCCTGGCCCTCAGAGAGCCAGTTGTTGAATCACTCTATACAACACACACCAGCGTCAGCAGGAGTGGGTGTGTTGAGCACGCACTGCACGGTCACTGTCTCTCGTACAGCAACACTCTGCTGGGTGTGCATGTGGCAAGGCAACCCGTGCATGCATGCACGCATGCTTTCCTGTTCCAGCTGTCTGTGCCCATCGCTCACCAGCGTCAGCAGGAGTGGGTGGGTTGAGCACGCACTGCACAATCACAGTCTCGTACAGCAACACTCTGCTGGGGTCCATACTCCATAGGAGGAAACCTGTCCCTTTTTGAGCCAGTCGTACATTCACTCCACTCCACACAGCATCGCTCACCAGCGTCAGCAGGAGTGGGTGCATTGAGCACGCACTGCACAATCACAGTCTCGTACAGCAACAGTCTGCTGGGGTCTTTAGGTGGTAACCCGTCCACCTTAAGCCCAGTGGTGTCCTCTGGAAAGTAGTAGATCAGAGTTCCCTGGGATTAGAACGAGTGTGTGGGAGGGGGTGCGGGGAGTGAGGGAGGTGAGTTGGAGAGGGAAGAGCAGGAGCCAATTCATCATTCAGCACAGCAACGCTAGGGTAAAAATCCGTCCTCTTAAAACCAGGGTCCAGAGTTTCGAAATTTGTTGGCATGTGTGAAGCTTGACTGCATATGATTGGTCCGCCAATTCGTGAGTGAAGGTTCCGAAAACGAACGGGCTTGTTTGTTCTATCCCGAACCAGTCAGGCACGGCACCATTGCTGGATCCGGATTTTGGCTCTCTGGTGCTCCGAACCTAAATTTCCCCAATGTCGAAATGTGAGACGCGAATGTCAAGCATTCTGGTCAAATGTTTTGCGCTTTTTGGGGGGGAGCAGTGTGCAGAAGCAGCCCGACCAATCACATGCCTCCCCAAACCAAACAAGCACTTGGACAATCACCCCAGTTAGCTTGTTGCGGTTTCCGCCCTTCGCCCTCCAATTACAACCAGTACGGCCGTTCATTCGCAAAACATTAGAGAAAACCCAGGAGCCTGGTTTTCAGTCCAGTGCAACCAATGGGATTATGCCACTTGTCATTTCCCCCAGCCAAGAGGATGATGCCACGTGTCCTCACCAGGATAGCCCTGTATCCATCCAATGAGATCCAGAGGCATTTCTCCTGCCTGCTCCCCCAAAGCTACCCTCACTCAATGGGATTGTGCCACGTGTCTTCACCTTATTGCTCCTTGCTACCTGTCATTACCGGGATAGCCTTGGGTCCGTGCTTTGAAATCCAGAGGCACGTTTCTTCTCTCCTCCCCCACAGGTACCTTGCTGCTCGTGCTCCCAGCCATTGGGTGGGAATGTGCCAGCCACATACCTCTACTGATTGAATGCCACGTATTCTTACCGGGATAGCCTTGGGTCCGTCGAATGAGATCCAAAGGCACGCTTCTTCTCTCCTCCCCCACACACAGGTACCTTGAAGCACATGCACCCAGCCTCACATTCTGTTGGAAATTTCCACGCGCTCTTACTGGAATAGCCCTGGGTCCATCCAGTGAGATCCAGAGGCACGTCTCCTCTCTGCTCCCCCACAGGTACCTCGCTGCTCGTGCTCCCAGCCCCACAATTGCAAAGGCGGATGCATGAAGGCGATGGGAGGAGGCGAAGACGAAGGTCGGCATGCCGTGTGGGGTGAAGAGGGCTGGATGGAAAGGCGGGTAAATGCAAGGGGGAAGATAGGGGAGAAGGTGTTATATGCTGGCTCGGACACACATGGAGGCGTGGGGGGAGTGGGAGAAGGCGACGACAAAAGTTGGCATGCCGTGTGCGGTGAACAGGGCTGGCCAACGGGGGATGTGAGAACAGGCAGAAATTGGATAACAAAGTAAGCTGTATTTTGAGTCGACTCAAGTGCCTGTCTCTGCTCCCCCACAGGTACGTCGCTGCTCGTACGCCCAGGCCCACAACTGGAGGGCCGAGGCATGATGGCGATGATATGGGATGGGAGGAGGCAAAGAAAGAAGTGGTCTTACCATCTGGGGCGAAGTGGGCTGGGGAAGGTGATTTTTGAGTCGACTCAAAAAGTGGGCTGGGGAAGGTGATTTTTGAGTCGACTCAAAAAGTGGGCTGGGGAAGGTGATTTTTGAGTCGACTCAAAAAGTGGGCTGGGGAAGGTGATTTTTGAGTCGACTCAAAAAGTGGGCTGGGGAAGGGAGGACATCAGATGGTTATAGGAAATCGAAGCAGGAGGAGCAAAACGAGGCATGTTGGTTCTTGAGTTGGCCCGAGTGTTGTTCCCCGGCTGGTACAGTAGCTGGGTGAGACTGTGGCACTCCTTTCCTTCGGAATTAGACATTGCATTGAGGGAGTCTGGGCAGAGTATTCTTGAGAATTCTCACAAATACCCTGCAAACTTAGGCATTGCATTGGGGGTTTCTGGGCAGAGGAGTGATTCTGAAGCAGCTGGTCAGGGCCAGGGTAACCTTGGGGATTGTTCGCGGGCTGGTAGGGCAGCTGAGCGAGACTCTGGCACTCCTTGGACAGAAACGTGATTGCAATGAGGGACATTGACAACAGAGTGACTCCAATGTGAGCGCAGGATGGTTAGGGTTACCTTGGGGATTGTTCGCGGGCTGGTAGGGTAACTGGTTGAGACGCTGACACTCCTTGGACTCACAAGTGATTGCATTGAGCGACACTGACAACAGAAGTGACTAGCGCAGGATGGTTAGGGTTACCTTGGGGATTGTTGGCGGCCTGATAGGGTAACTGGGTGAGGCTCTGGCACTCCTTAGACAGAAACGTGATTCCATTGAGCGAGACTGACGGGAAGAGTGACTTAAAAGGGGTCGGTATTATCGAGGGGAGGGCGGGGTTGGGGAGGTTCGAGAGCGATCGCCGGTGCCAGATGTTGTGCGAGACGAGGACGAGGAGGCAGAGCACGAAGGAGTAATGGAAGAGTGGGGACATTTTGTCTAGTCGTCTGCGTATAACGGTTCTGCTTATAACGGGTGCCTCTTAGCGAACCATCTTAACACGATCTTCGAAGCTAGATGCTGTGCGAAACGAGGACGATGAGGCGGAGGACGAAGGAACCGCGGAAGAGCGGCGACATTTCGCGCGGTCGTCCTTTAGTTACGGGCATTTTCCCGCGCCGTCACGGCTGTTCCTAGTTTCTCAACTGTTCTAAGTCCCCATGCACCTGCGTTGTTCAAAGCGCGCCGGATATCTCCAAGCGGCTTACGTGACGCTTGCGGAAACGCCTAAAGATTGTCAGCGACCACAAATTGCTGTTATCGTTCTGCTTCCATATCTCGTTCAGGTGACAGGGTCCGAACCGAAAGTAACTTCTCCCAAACCCAACAATATGCCACTTAAAGCCCGGGTCTCCTATTATTCAATTGTACAGCAGTTGGTGAGCTTGGTGGCGCCTGATTGGATCGCGAGTGCGAAATCAGGTTGGAAAGGTGACGAGGTTTGCGACACACGTCATTTTCGTTAAAAGGAACCAACCCAGCCGATGAACGTGGGGCTGTTTTGTTGTCAGACCTCAGAAGCCTTCCACGTAATTTACGCTTAGCCCACGCTCTAACAACCCGATTTTGGGGCGAACTTTTGTGACCCTTGTGTTCATCGATACGAAATTTGGAAAGTAAAAATATAACTCAGCCGAAAACCAACCCCAATCTCCGTGAAGTCGAGATTCCCAGATTTCAGAAGTCTGCTTTACGGATGGTTTGGCCTCGCGAGACCCAATCGCAGATGGGTTGTCGCTGGAAATTCGTCAGGCAAAATCGAGTTACCCCTTATCGACTGCTATACATTCGGCGTCCAATGTTGAAATATGAGAATCGGGCTTTAAAAAATCCCCAGGTTTCCCGCCAAAATACCACCTTGGGAATTCAGGCCCAGCAGCACTTGGCCTAGATGTTTGGTTTGGTTGGGTTCACAGTGTCAGGACCAGCATCAGGTTAGACAGTACCGCCTTGGAGTGTACACATCCCTCTTCTCTGCCCCAATTCAGGTATGTGCTGCTTGCCCAAAATTCACAACCTGATGTACGAGCGCGGGAAATAAAAACAAAATATCTTCCCACCGTAGACATCCACAACCATGCCTGAAATATTTCGGGAAGCTGGCTTTTCGGGTCATCCACGGGGCTCGGGCGGGTGGATGTCTGACACGAGCGTCTGACAGCCGCCTCGAACAAGCCCTGAACAAATTCTCGATTTTACCGAAATTGTTCAGGCCTTTGTCCCGAGGCGAGCTTGCATTTCATTTTCTCCTCCCAATTTCTGATTCCCAAATAAGCTGGTCTCGTAGTCCGTAGTCGGGTGAACTGGGCGAGACTTTCAGTGGTTGTCGCTCGATATCTTCAGCCTTAGGAACCCACATCGTTTCTTCAGCCAGTTTATCGTCGATAGTAGAGTAAACGGCCAGGCTCGATCTAATAAGCGGGATTCCGAAGAGTCTCATGACTCGTTTCCTCTAGCTTTCCATAGCAACATGTATCGTTTAGGTCCGTGTTGTCTCCATTCCTAGCATCCGTCAACCGATTCCGTTGTTTCGGTTCCCCTTAAGCCGATTCCGTTGTTTCGGCTCCCCCTAGAACTATTCGCAGCTACCAACTCAACGCGTCGTGACTCACGTAACCTCGTGTCGCACCTCCTTTTCTTAGGTTCCGACCTCAGAGTCCATGTCAACATCCACGTCAGCAGTCATAGCTGCAACGTCGGATGCGTACGAGCAGTCGGTGGCGATCCTGACACGTCTGACCGGGAAATGGGGTCGAATGGAGGAGGAGGAAGCGAATGTGCGACGAGCAGCTGAGGCGAGCAAACGGCTCGTTGACATCTTGGCTGAGAGGGAACAGGCCATGGCCAGCTTGATTGACCGTAAGCACTCCGACAACAGTTGCTGGTTGTGTGACGGCTTTTGAGTCAACTCAAAAGTCACCTCGTTGGTGGGTGTGTGACGGCTGCACTGCCAAACGAGCAAACGGCTCACCGCTATCTTTGCTGAGAGGGAGAATTCCACGGCGAGAATGATCGACCGTATGCATTCCATGGCTAGGAGGTGTGCGCGTTATCACGGTGGGTATACCATGCCTGCAGTGCAAAGTAGCTAAACAACTGGATGATGTTTTAGCTCGGGGGGGGAGGCCATGGCGAGATTGATCGACCGTATGTATGTCATGGCTAGGAGGCGTGCGCGTTATCACGGTGGGTATACCGTGACTGCAGTGCAAAGCAGCTAAAGGGCTCATGGTTGTCTTTGCCGAGAGGGAGAGTGCCATGGCCAGAGTGATTGACCGTATGCCTGCCATGCCTAGGATGCGTGCACGTGGGTGTGGCTGTATTGCAAAGTGGCAAACTGTTCACGGATGTCTTTGCTAAGAGGGAGGAAGCCATGGCCAGAATGATTGATCGTGTGTACCCATGGCTAGGATAATGGCACTAGGTAGGCTTGTGATGAGTCATGACTGCAGGGCAAGCGACGGAGAAGCTCATAATAACACCAGGTAGGTTCGTCATGGGTCATGACTGCAGGGCAAGCGACGGAGAAGCTCATAATAACACTAGGTAGGTTCGTCATGGGTCATGACTGCAGGGCAGGCAGCCAAGAAGCTCATATGAGACTACTTCTGAGGCGCCGCAAAAGTATGGCTAGGATAGTAACACTAGGTAGACTCGTCGTGACTGCAGCACAAGCGGCCAAGAAGCTCATATGGTTACGTCGTGCCTGCAGTTTGTAACAGGATAGTTACCCTGTGCTTGTGTTGCAACCCTCATCTCTCTCCCTCCAAGGCTCACAGCAGGTGGTATCAGATACGAGGGAGAGGGTGGGGGAGCTACAGAGGAGCATGCAAGAGGACTGAGGGGGAAGATTTTTGCAACGACCCGAAGGTCATCTTGTGTTGCACCCCTCGTACTACCTTTCCCTCCACGCTTCCAGGCTCGCAGCAGGTGGTGTCAGATATGAGGGAGAGGGTGGGGGAGCTACAGAGGGACTTGCAAGAGGATGCAGAGAGGTTGGAAGAGGTGAATGAGCAGAAGAGGGAGGAGCAGGTGGAGATTGACGCGCTCCTGGAAAAGGTTCGTATGCTTGGGTGTGTGCCTTGGAGTGTGCAAGAGGGCAAGGGGGGAAATGTATGTGGGTATCTTACTGTTCTCCACTTCCATATCCTTTGTTTCTCTGAGCTGCATATCCTCTTTACAGTCACATCCTCTGCTCCTCTTTCGCATCCTTTGATGCACTTCAACCTTTTTTACTGTCAAAATCTTTAACTGCCTTTGCTGGCCCATCCTCTCTCTGTTCAACTGCAGGTGAAGGCGTATCAGGCCAGGATTGATCATCTCGTGCGGAAGCAAGGCGAACTTCAGGTTAAGCGAGGGAAGCTCGAGGCAGACGCTGATTTCCGCACCACCAAGATACGGTGAGGAAAGAAAAGGAAAAAGAAAGAAACGAAAACTGCCAGATGTACACTTCGTTTTCCTGAAATGGCAAATGCAAATCTCTCATTTCCTTCTTCAAAATTGCGCAAGGGACGCGTTCTCCTCTCAAGCTTCGTTGCATGATGCACCACAGCCTCCATCCGTGCCCCTTCTTCCACCACTTCGTCCAGGAACTCGTTCGCTGTCCACGCTTTTGCCCGCACGTGATTGAAATCTGATGCCAGCTGGAAACAGAGGATATTCGGCTCTGACACCTGCTAATCCTTGTCCCACCTTACCTGATCCCATCAAACCACCCCTCCACCCCTCCGCCCCTCCTTATCAATTTCAGAGAGGAGCTGGTTTTTGTCTCAAACTTCCAAAATTTTGAGCCACACATCGCTTTCATCCCTCTTGCCCTTCAGCAAGGAACTTCGTTCACTTTCAGGCTTCACCAACATTCAGTTGGCTCTATGCGCCATGGATTAACCTTTTGGAACAGCATAGTTTCTTCTTTCTCTTTAAGGAATGCTCTCATCTACCCCCTAATCCCCTCCCCTCTCTTCCCCTCCTCCGCCTGACGACCACACCCATTCTCCAATTCCAGCAAGGAGCTGATTCTATTTTCAGGCTTCACCAGCATTCGCTTGGATTTAGACGTGCAGGACCGATTCGTTGGCACGATGGCACACCCTTCAGGGAGTCCCGAGCTGGCCAGGCCTCTTGACTTTGACGTGGCTGATGCTAGCACCACGACTGCCACTGCCTACCAGCTATGGGACATGCTATGACACGTTTGACTATTGACATGACGGCACACCCTTCAGGGAGTCAACAGCTGGCCAGGCCTGTTGACTTTGCCACCTCTGATGCTAACCTTGCTGCTACTACCAGCTATGGAACTTCCTACGGTTTGTTTAGACTTTCCAGTTACTGTTTCCTAGCCCAATGGCACAGCCTTTCTGGAAATGCAGAGCTGGCCAATAATCCCTCATCTATGGTACCATTTATCCACCACTTCCACCTAGCGGATGTGGAACATAATTTGCTTGAGTATAGTTTTTGAGTACGAGATAGCTAGATGTTTGGAGGCGTGATTGTTCTTGTACATGTGATGTTGTAAGGTTATAGCATTTGCTCTTTATAAAATCATACACGGCACATGCTTGCTGCATGGGTATGCCTCACGTGCTACCGAAGCTTGTTCTGACACTCTTTGTCGCGTATATTTGAGGCTAGACCCTGTTTTTGTAAGTTGAGTTCGGTCACTCTTCGTTCTGGAATGAAACCCTGACTTGAAATACTGGATCGAGAACAACGATCTGTGGACCGACCCACCGTAAAGGCTCGAAATTGACACGCAAATTATAGGACACCTGGTTTCTAGCGATGAATTTAGGATACGCTCCCACGCTAGAAGGCTCCTCCTGTCACCAAAGAGGGAAGCCTCGTTGTAGTCAAGGTTGATATCATACCCTCACAGCTCGGTTTCCAACTGCGAAATCTGGCTACCATGGCTCGCATTCCTTCGTCAGTTGCCGTTTCAGCGTTCTCCTTGGTTCTCATGATACTCCTCTCATTATCTTCCGCTACGGCTGGAAACACGACCGTTTCATTGACACCGTTCGATGAGGCCGTTCAGAAGCTGAACGCTTCAGGCTACACCAGCTTCGTGTCGCTGGTCAAGCTTTACGGTACATAACAATGGTGTTTTTCTATTGACAACCACGCCGAAGGTCGTAACCAACCTTCTGTTTCAAGCAGGGAAACGGAAGGAATCAACAGATGCGCTGAAGAAACCATTGACGATGCTTGTGCCGGACAACGCTGCGTTTTCCCAAGGAAATCTGACTCACTATAACAGCGTCCAGATTGCTACTCTTGTCGGATTTCACGCCATCAAAGGCTTTCTGACCAAAGCCGAGCTTCAGATGTTGAAGCCTGGAACTCAAATTGCCACCATGGCAACAGACACGAAGACCAAGAAGCCTTTAATGCTCGTCAAAATCTCCAAAGCCAGTACGAAGAGCAAAGTTATTCTTCAAGGAAGGCGAACCCCTGTGAAGAGCACTCTCACGATCGTCAAGGGAGACTTTTACATGAAACCAGGAGTACTAGCAATTCACACCACTGACGCCATTGCCTTTCCAACAGGGTTGTAGTGAAAGTTGAATGCTCAAGCCGACAAACCAAGACCAAATAAGGCATGGATTGGTACTTGTGATATTAGGTTGGGATTTCAACGATTCATGAGGGAACTTACCATTGGGCTAGAGAGAATAATCCATGTCATGCTAGTTCTAGAGTTTCACCAGTCAGTTTTTTTATTGCACTCCTGTAGTTCACTCCTTTCTTCCTTGAAAGCGAAGTGTGCTTGTTTATGGTAAATGATTGGCTGGGAAGTGTCAAGTCCGCTGTATAAACCGAAACTTTGTGTCGTATCGAAACGTCCTCGTCTTGTGCATCTGCTTTCCATCATGGAACCAGCAGGTTCTCACACCTAAACTGCAGAATGCGAATTGGTTTCATGGTTGGCCTGGATCCAATTGAATTTCGTGCTGAAAATTCTTTGCTCCACTACACTTCGCCTCACTTTCTGTACCTCATACACACTCCTTTCTGCTGGTTATACCTCGGATTATCTAAATCTCCGTCATGGCGGGAAAACGAATTACCTTACGTGTACGAAGCCGCGACGGCCTGGAGCGAGTTCAGCTGGACGAATCAAAGGCCACGGTTTCCGGCCTCCGCGCGCAAATCTCGCAGCAGCTCGCCATTCCGCTGGCCGAACTGATCCTCTCTACCGACCAAGCCCTTCTCCTCTCCTCAGACCCGGAAAAGTTTAAAGACCTAGCGAATTCTTCCGTTTCGCTAGAATCGCTAGGTATAGGACATGGAAGCATAGTGTTCGCGAAATACAGTGTGTCGCGAACTGTCGCAGGGCCTCCAGTGCCTGTCGTCCCCGCGGGGTCGTTCGGGCGACACATGACGGTGAACGACATGGTCGCGCGACAGATGCGTATCGAGCGACAGGAGGCGTCGCACTGCCAGCAGGTGTCATTCGATCGTGATGCTGCTAACGTGTTTCAGGTGAGGGGGCTGTAGCGAATTGAAATTTCTGGGAAGTGAGATTGCTGATTGAAAACTTATACTTCTGGGAAGTTGTGATTGCTGAAACGAACTGAATCTGCTGGTTGCGATTGACTGACTTGCCAGCAATTCTTCCCCTCTCGTCCTAACGTTGTCCCTCCATGACAGCGCCGTGGTCCGACCTTCTGTGTACTGAGAGCGGCGTTCCTGTCTGGGGAACTTCTCTGACTCGACTCAACGCTCATCATCCCCTCCGGTTCCCAACCCCAACAGCACCACGTGCCTGACAGCCTGACCTTCTTTATACAGAGGGCGGGGTTCCTGTATGGGGAGGTGCGGGAGGATGGGCGCGTGCTGGTGGAATTCATCTCAATCGGTCTAGATTTAGTTTACCAGAAGCCCCGTTGAGGATGGGCACATGCTGGTGGACTTCGCCTTTAAGCCGCTCTCTCATACCCCCTCCCTTCCCAACCGTTGTTTTTCCCCTGCATGTCACAGCACTATGTGCATGACACTTTAACCTTCTCCATAAAGCGAGGAGGGTTTCTGTACGGGGAGGTGCGGGAGGATGGGCACGTGCTGGTGGACTTCATTTACGAGCCTCCCTCCAATATCCCACCCTCTTCCCGACCGCTGTTTCTTCTGTTCTTCACAGCACTATGTGCATGACACTCTAGCCTTCTCCATTAAGCGAGGAGGGTTTCTTTACGGGGAGGTGCGGGAGGATGGGCACGTGCTGGTGGACTTCATTTACGAGCCGCCACAGCACGGAACAGAGCACACGCTGCAGATCTTTACTAATGAGGGTACGTCCTCCAGTTACACACGTATACGCATGAGAGTGTGTATATTCTCGGCTTGTATAGATTCAAAGTACTGAGAGCCCCTCAGCTGCCTGTGGGGATGGGCATGTGCTGCTGGACTGGCCATGCAGTCTGTGGGCTGAATGCTCTGTCACCCTCCCTGTGACCCAGCTAGTCGTACCCCCCAATTGCCCCCAAACCCTCTCCCCATAATCAGCTGAGAGGGCAGTGGCAGCAATTGCTGCTGGACTGGGCATGCAGTCTGTGGGCTGAATGCTCTATCGCCCTCCCTGTGACCCAGCTAATCGTACCCCCAAGTGCCCCCAAACCCTCTCCCCATAATCAGCTGAGTGGGCAGTGGCATGGCATCAATTGCTGCTGGAATGGGCATGCGGTCTGTGGGCTGAATGCTCTGTCGCCCTCCCTGTGACGCAGCTAATCGTACCCCCAAGTGCCCCCAAACCCTCTACCCATAATCAGCTGAGAGGGCAGTGGCATGGCATCAATTGCTGCTGGACTGGGCATGCGGTCTGTGGGCTGAATGCTCTGTCGCCCTCCCTGTGACCCAGCTCATGATAACCCCAAGTGCCTCCGAACCCTCTTCCCCTCCAGCCGAAGAGAGAGCAGTGGCGGCGATAGCAGCAGGGCTGAGCATGCAGTGTGTGGGGTTCATCGTGACTCGAACTCTAGCAGAGGACGAGAAAGCCCAGGAGCACTCCTGCACTCTCTACCCATCTCTTTCCGTCTCTCCCCCCCCTCTCCCATGCACACTCTTCCCACAGCCGAAGAAAGAGCAGTGGCGGCCATAGCATCTGGGCTGGGCATGCAGTGTGTGGCTTCATTGTGACTCAACCCTTGCAGATGACGAGAAAGCCCAGCCCAGGAGCACTCCTTCACTCTCTCTCATACAGACACACCCTCTCACTCACTCACTCCCCCCTACAGCTGAGGAGAGGGCAGTAGCGGCGATAGCAGCAGGGCTGGGCATGCGGTGTGTGGGGTTCATCGTCACTCAAACCCTAGCAGAGGACGAGAAAGCCCAGGAGCACTCCTTCACTCTCTCTGCCTCTGACGTCCTCCTGGCTGCTAGATTCCACTGCGCCACCGCCATTGATAGCAGTGGGGGGAAGGCGGGCGAGGGGGGAGAGGGAGGAGAGGGAAACGGGGAGAGACGAGGCGAAGGGGAAAGAGACGGGGGAGGAGGAGGGAAGGAGGGAGAGAAGGAGGGGGAGAAAGGGGGCGAGCCGTTTAAGGACTTTGCAGTGGTGCTGGTGAAACTGCTAGTGGACGAGGAGGGGGAGGGGGGCGGGGACGTGCACTTTGAGGCCTTTCAACTAAGCGACCAGTGCCTAAAGCTGTACCGAGAGGGGTGGTTCGCTGGGGATGGGCGAGACGAGGGAGAGGGAGCGGAAGGTGGGAAGCAGGACCCAGGGGCGGGTGGGGGAAGGGATAAGGGGAAGGGGAAGGTGGGGGAGAAGGAGGGGAAGGGAAAGAATGCGGAGGAGAAGGAGGAGGAGGATGATCCCAAGGTTTCGAGAATGCGAAAGCAGGTCGTGGTGGCGGGGAGGGACACGTATGAGGTGGACAACGACTTCTTCCTCATGCCGGTTAAGATTGTGGACCACCAGGTGAGGTCACTGAGGTGCACCTGCTGTGGTGTGATTCGTCCAATCCAGAACCATGTGATGCTCATGTTCCTCTCCCTCCTCTCCCTTTCTCTTTCATGGCCCTCCAGCGCCCTCTCACTACATCGTTTCTAGTTGAGAATCTTATAAGTTGAAGTAGCATTTGGAGCACTCTTGCTTCACAGCATAGTCCGACCGACCTCCTAGCTGACTTCCACCTGCTGCTCATGTCCTCTTGCTTTCCTGTGGCATGCTCTTTCCTTCCCTGCAGGGTCCTCTCTCGCCGTCATTCCCCATGGAACACCGCATAATTCTTCCCACTCAGAACGACCCCAAAAACAGCAGCATCTGGAGCGCAGTCGCTCCAAGGCATGGCCCGAAAGCCGTGGTGACTTCCCCCTGCTGCTCATGCGCCCCTGCTCATGTTTTCTCTCTCCTTTGGTATCATGTCTTTTCTCTCCTTGGGCTTGCTTTTCCCTTTCCTGCAGGGTCCTCTCTCGACATCTTTCCCAGTGGAAAACCGCATAATTCTTCCCACCCAGAACGACCTCAAGCAGCATTTGGAGCGCAGCCGCTCTAAGGCGTGGGCCGACCGGCTGGCTGACTTCCACCTGCTGCTCTACCTCAGTAACTTCCTGGACGCTTCCACAGACATGCCCATGCTGGCGCAGGCAGTGCGCACTAAGGAGCCAATCAGCGAGGGCCACCAGCTCATTATCGAGCACTTGGCATAGTGTAGCGTCTGTTGTAGCTTCTAGTGTAGCTAGCTACCTTTTTTGCTACAACTCACCTAGGAATCACGAGGTACCCACTTCTAGTTAAGAACCCCCCCACTCTTGACGATCAGAAGGAGCATTTGGAGAGCATATCCAAGGTGTTGTGCAACAGCTTGCTTTCCTGCACCCGCAGCTCTACCTCTGCAACTTTCTAGATGGTTCCACTTTCACAGACATGCCCATGCTGGCGCAAGCAGTGCGCACTAAGGAACGGATCAACAAAGGTCGCCAGCTGATTATTGAGCATTCAGCTATTCTATCTTCCAATGTAACGCTTTTACTTGGGCTCATATTTTAGCCTCGTACCACAAGACTCATTCTGAACCTAATGTCACAAATTCGTTGTGGTAATGGAATGAGGATTGAGCAAGGCATGGAATACCCATTGTAACGAAGCTTAATCAACGAGCCTGTAACGCGTATATTATAAGGGTGCTGGGGAGATGCGAAAGCATCGAGAATTCCGCTGACACCTCTCCGCGCACGCATCCCCCCGCCGTCCCCCTGCGGCCCTTCTCGATAAATCAGAGTGAGCAGTACAAATAGCCATTATCATCACACTGCATCGAACTGAACCTAGTCAGCGCATCAGCACACATGGTGTGAATTTTCCGCCTTCTCCCTTCCGCCTTCCCCCCTTCCACCTTCCCCTTTCCGCTGTCTCCCTTGCGCTTTAGGACGTGTCCCGCGCGTACATTTCTAGGTCAATACCCTACCCAACCGTTTCATATTGTTATTTGAACCTTCTTACAAAAAAGAGCACCTCACCCAACCGCAATTAAACGTACTCGCGGGCAGCAGATTTTGCTGGGCTACCGCTTTCCGCCATTGGGCGCACTTCGGCTTCCGCGAGTCTACTAAAGCTGTCCATCCAGGAAGGTCTTTCTGCCTGGTCGAGTCAAACTCGTTTTTCCTGCGGTGTTGAAATGAGTCACTGGGCCCTAGAAAAGTACAGACCATCACTTGTTTCGCTTGACGATTCGCGGTGTTTACTTGCTCTCGCCTGCTCCTGTGCTCCGCGGTTAGTGTTTAGCTGCCTGGTGTGATTCGATTGCAGCATCGTTAAAGCCGTCGGTAAGCCGTTTGCCAAAAGACGGAATTAGTTGATCGACCGCTCGTAGCACTTGGTGCGAGCGAGCCTGGTACTGTACCTGAGGCAAGCGAGCCTTAGCCTACAGTGAGCGAACTTAGTACCTGGTGTGCTCCGAACGCAGCGTTGAGTTTCCGTTGTTTTACTTTCTTTCTCTCTACGACTTCTACCGCCTCGGAACTCGTTGTTTAGATTACTCCGTCGCGTGCATCATCAGTTGGAAGACAGTCATTATAATGTACATTAATGTACATTATTAGTAGGTCGGAATTAATGTACATCAGTCCGTACTAGTGTTCAGTCGTTTGCCTAATCGCTTAGGGTAAAGCCTGGTCGCGTTAGTCCCCTCGTGCAAAAATCTGTACTAAAGTGTTATTTCCCCGTTTCTATCCTATCCTCCGTCTCCTCCCTAACGCTTTTCATCCTAAGCGTTTCCCTTACATGCTGTTTCGTTAGGTCAGACCGGGGAAAAAAAACCTATCATGGCTCCTCCTAACCCAGCAGGGCTGGGTGTGGACAAAAACTCCCGGAAAATTGGCAAGGCGGGGGGTAAGAAACAGAAGGAAGTGAAAGCATTTGTGCCTGAAACGAAGGTGATTCAAACGGATGTGGCGCATTTCCGGTCGCTCGTTCAAGAGCTCACAGGCGCAGCCTCCCAAGACGCGGACGGGGGACCCGCGCGGGGTTCGGGGGGGAAGGCGCGCGGAAGGGGGGGCGAGTCTGGGGGGAAGGCACGCGGAGGGGGTGATGAGCCTGGGGGAAGGCCGCGCGGAGGGGGGGGTGAGCCCGGGGGAAGGCCGCGCGGAGGAGGGGGTACAACTGGCGGAGGGGCGCAACAAGGGGGGGCGGCGGGGGAACTACGGGCGGCGGTGCAGCCTCTGCAGATGCAATGGCAGCAGCAGCAGAGGCAGGCGCAGCAGCCGCAGGGAAAGGAGCAGCAGCAGCAGCAGCAGCAGCAGCAATGCTTGGAGCAGCAGATTCTGCAGCGTCAGCGACCCCAGGCAACACCCTCAAGCGAGAAACATCCACCGGTGGTAACCAGCACAGGCGAAGTATTCACAGGACTAGCGACCAGAGAAGCAGCCCTGCAGTCGCAACAACAGGCTGCGCTTAATAATGCGGCTGGTAATAGCGAATTTGCTAATAGTGGAGTTGCCAATAGCGGATTTGCTAATAGCGGAGCTGCTGTTACTGGAGCTGTAGCTAAGCAAGCTTTTGGTGGCCATTTTGGTGCAGGGAGGTATGAGGTAGCAGCTGCGGGGATTACAGGGGGAGGAAATGCCGAAACAGAAAGGCGTGGTAATACAGAACATGCAGGAGGTGTGGCCGCTTTTGAGTCGAATCAAAAGCAAATTACAGGGGGAGGTAATGCTGAAACAGAAAGGTGTGGTTATACAGAAAATACAGGAGGTGTGGCTGCAGACTCTAGACTATCCATGTGCCTCCAGCTGAACCCAGATATCCTTTCACTGTTGTCACGTGCCGTTAGTAGCAGACAGGGAACAGGTCAGCACCAGCAGCGGCAGCAGCAGCACGTGCAGCAGCAGCAGCAGCAGCAGCAGCAGCATGTGCAGCAGCAGCAATCAAAGCCGCAGCAATTGCTGGCGCAGCACCGGCTAGAAGCTCCCTCTCATCAGTCACTTAGGGAGTATCATGATGATTTCGCATCACCCAGTATCGCGTTTCTTCAGCCGAACGAAGTGCCTCCTCTTTCGCATCCTCATCCGAATTCGGGTTGGGAACAAGCGGGTGCTCCCACTACGGAGCAGCAGCAGCGGCGGCATTTTCCGTTTGAGCTGACCGGAGGGACACCCCTTACGGAGCGGCATTTGCCATTTGATTTTGTTCCAACGGCACCCGACGGCGCGCGGCAGCTTGCTCTTGAGTCGGCCCGAGAAGCACCTGGACCACCAGAGCAGCGTTTGAGGGGCATTGGGAATCATCAGCAGCAGCAGCCGCAGCAGCAGGAGGAGGGAGCACTGTCGCCTGCGAGGCTGGCACTTGGTGGGAGTCAGCAGCAGGGTACAGCACTGTTGCCTGCAAAGCTCGGAGATGGATGGAGAGGGGGAGGAGGGAGTGGGGAGGAGGCAGGAGCAACTGCAGGGGCGGGTCTATGGGCGGGTCTAACAGCTGGAAAAATAGGAGGCCAGGCCAGAACAGATGTGAATGAGAGGGAGCGGGCGCATGTAACTTTTGAGTCGGCTCAAAAGCACCAGGGGGAGGCGCGGGCGGCTGCAGGGGCGGATATATGGGGAGGATCAGCGGGGAGTATACAGGGTCAGGCCAGAATAGATGTGAATGGCAGGGAGCAGGCGGCGCAGGTAGCTGGCACACAACTCGCACTGGCCGTGGCTGGGGGTGTAGGGGTGGGTGGGGCGGCAGTAGTAACTGGAGCTGACGTGGCGGGAGAAGAGTGGCTAAGCTGTGAGGCGGTTGATAGGGAAGCTGGCGTTCAAAGTAGATTGATCATAGGAGAAGCAGGAGGTGCAGGAGGTGCAGGAGGTGCAGGAGGTGCAGGCGCAGGAGGTGCAAGAGGTGCCGGAGGTGCAGGAGGTGCAGGAGGTGCAGGAGGTGCCGGAGGTGCCGGAGGTGCGCGTGAGAAGGGGTTGTGGAGTGAGCCGCGGGACCAGAGGAGTGGAGGGGTGTTTTGGGGGAGCGTGGGGGAGGTGGGTAGGCAGGGAGAGGAGGTGAGAGTGGGAGAGGGAATGGAGATGGGAGGTGGAGTGCGGGAGTGTGAGGGTGGGGTGTTGGGGGATATGGAAGGCCAGCAGATGCAGATAGACGAGCAGCAGCAGCAGCAGCAGCAGCAGCAGCAGCAGCAGCAGCAGCAGCAGCAGCAGCAGAGTGAACAGCCGTTTGCACAGCAACTTCCAGGGCAAGGACAGCAACGACCAGGTGAAGAGGAGGAGAAGCAACAGCAGCAAGCGAAGCAGCAGGAGCAACAGGAGAAAGAGCATCTCCAGCAGCAGCAGCAGCAGCAGCCCCCTTCTGCCCTTCCTCCTCTCGTACCTCGACCCAACGCCCCTTCACACGTCCCTCCACCCATCCCTTACTCAGCCAGCAAGCCACCTCTCCTCCCCTCCTCCCTCCTCCCCTCCTCCATGCTTCCCCGTAAGCCTCGCCCCCCTAGGCCTCGCCAAGTCACCCGCCTGCAATCCCTAGCTCCTCCCCCCATCCGCCCTCTCATGTCCACCCAGCCTCCTCTCATCCCCTCCTCCTCCTCCTCCCCCTCCAACTCCTCCTCTCCCTCCCCTCCCTTGTTCCCCCCTGGCCCTACTTCTGCCACTGCTGCTGCCGTTGCTGCTGCTGCTGGTGCTGCTGGTGCTGCTGGTGGTGCTGCTGGTGGGATTGCTTCGTCTGCTGGTATTCTTGGTCCGAGCCCTAAGCCCTCACCGGGTCTTTTCTCTCGGCCTCTGGTCTCTCCGCTCGTTCCGTACCCACACCCATCCCCTTTCTCTGTGTTTTCCTCCTGTAACTCGCCTCTCCTCCCCACCTCCTCTCCTAGGGGGTTCTTATGGGCGGGGTTGCCTGAATCCCCTGCGAGTGTGATTGTAAGGGAGGAAGCCATGCTGGCAGCTGCACAGACGTCAGAAGATCCAACGGCTGCTGCTGCACCGGGCTCAGGAAATCCAATGGCTGAAGCTGGAGGATCCGGAGAAGATCCAACGGATGTAGCTGCTTCTGGCCTGGCTGCTGCGGTATCTGCTGATGCTGCTGCTGCTGCGGCATCAAGTGGAGATTCTGCATCGACAGATGCTGGCACTTCAAAAGCAGGTGCTTTTAAAGGAGATGCTTTTAGTGGTACACAGCCTGGCGTGACAACACCGGTTGGTAAACAAGCCGCCTCGTTGCAAGGCCATGGGGATACAGGGAGGCTCATGGGCTCTGCAGCAGTCAGCCCGGCCAAAGCAGAGGCTTCTGATGGGTCGGTTGACGCTGGGAAGTTGCCAGAAACCCTCACTCTGTTTGAGTAAGGTTCTGCTCTGCATTGCTGTGTGCTGCTAGGGGATTCTGGAAACAGATTTCCAGCTCCCGTTGCACACAAATTTACAAGGAAGGATTGGTTGGATTGGATGTGGCCAAGCGACCGTACATTTGGCTGCAATGGTTTCTCGTACCGGTACTGGTAATACCGTAGTGACCCACACCAGACTGCTATGCCAGGAACAAGATACTGTCAGAATAAGCTAGCTAGGAAGAGGTTGTCAACTTATACATATATTAATGTAGAAGTTATAGGCTAAATAGGGTATGTTCTTAGTGGGTACAACCCAAACGCTATATCTCCCCTGTTCTCCATTCTTCTAATCATTCTTTCTAGTCTTAACACGGTATAACGAGTAGGTAGGTCCACCCACCTGCTTCCGCCCCGTTTCGCCACCTAACGGCCCCTCGCGCCCCTAGCTGGCCCCGCGCGCCCCTACGGCCCCGTCGCGCCCCTAGCAGGCCCCGTCGTGCCCCTACGGCCCCATCGCGCCCCTGATCGGCCCCGTCGCGCCCCTAGCTGGCCCCGCGCGTCCCTATGGCCCCTTGCGCCCCTAGCCGGCCCCGTCGCGCCCCTACGGCCCCATCGCACCCCTACCGGCCCCGTCACACCCCTACGGCCCCGTCGCGCCCCTACGGCCCAGTCGCGCCCCTACGACCCCGTCGCATCCCTACGGCCTCGTCGCGCACCTACCGGCCCCATCGGGCCCCTAGCCGGCCCCGTCGCGCCCCTACCGGCCCCTTGCGCCCCTAGCCGGCCCCGCGCGCCACTACGGCCCCTCGCACCCCTAGCCGGCCCTGTCGCGTCCCTAGCCGGCCCCTCGCGCCCTACGGCTCCTCGTGCTCCTACCGCCCCCGCCCCCCGCGCCCCTACTGGCTCCTCGCGCCCCTAGCCGGCCCCAATCGCCCTTGCCGGCCCCGCTCGCCCTAGCAGGCCCCTTGTGCCCTAGCCAGCCCCTTGCGCCCTAGCCGCCCCCTTGCGCCCTAGCCGGCCTCGTCGGGTGAGCCGCCGAGCCGCCATGTCCCCGAGCCGCCGAGCATCCACGCCGCCGAGTCGCTGAGCCGCCGAGCACCCGCGCCGCCGAGCCGCCTAGCCGCTGAGCCGCCGAGCCGCTGAGCCACTGAGCCCCCGAGCTGCCGAGCCGTCGTGTCGCTGTGCCGCTGTCAAGCTGTGCGATGGCGGACGCCGTACTTCGCTTGGACGCTGAGGGGCACGCGATCGACTTTGCCGCCTGGCTCGTCGACCTCCGCCGGCACCTCACAGGTCAGCGCCAGGATGAGCACTCCCTGGCTATGCATGTTGATGGTTTGCTTCCCCGCCCCCCTGCGCCTGATCCCCTCCCTGCTGACCCTATCACTGCTGAGAGTGAGGCTTTTGCTGCTGTTGTGCTCGCTCGCGCTGTCTGGGATTCTCGCGATGCGGTAGCGCAGCTTGCCATTAGCCATGCCCTCCCCCTGTCTGAGCGGCCGCGCTTTACCGCTGTCGCAAACGCCAAGGAATTTCTCGCTGCAGTAGTTGAGCGTTAATCCACACCTGCTTCCGCCTCTGCTGGCCGCTTGATCCTACCCATGCTCTTCTCTGATCTTTCTGCTTTCCCCACGGTAGCTGACCTCGCCACTCACCTCCGTGCACTAGAGACCAGCTACCGTGCTGCTAGCTCTGCCGCCTAGCTTACTGCCTTTCCCCCACCTTTCTGCGCTACCCTATACCTCTTCGCCATGCGCCTGCCTGACCGCTTAGCCACTGCCCGCGACCACTTCCTTAGTCAGCACCCTGCCGACCTCACCCTGACCTCCTTTGTCACTACTCTGTTTGAGATAGAGACTCGCTAGCGCACTATCGCTCAGTCGAGCGGTGTTGCGGCAGTCCCTATCTTTCAGGGCTGTGCCCCCTCCTAGTGCACGTACGCTGACGTCTCAGCCGCAGTTGGCACGACTGCGCCTGCACCTGAGACAGCATCTGCGGCTTACCCGCAGCAGCGCCAGCGCCAGGGCCGCCGTGGCCCAAAGGGAGGACGTGGAGGTGACGCTAGTGGTGATGGTGGCGGGGACAGTGGTTCTGACGAGGAGGTTGGTGCTGGTGCCCAGGAGCAGCAGCAGTCGCTGCAGTCGCAGCCGCCGCAGCAGCAGCAGCCGTCACAGCAGCAGAAGCAGCAGCCGCAATAGCAGCAGCAGCAGTAGCAGCTGTGGGCTCGTCTCCCGCCCGGGTGGCCGGGAGCCCCTGGCGGTGGTGGTCGTGGTGGTGGCCCTCGCAGCTCGGCGTCTACCGGTAGCTTCGGTGCTGTGAGCTGCCAGTACCAGCTTCAGACCGGGCCCCTGCGTGGCACGGTGTGCCGCCGCCCGCACCTGACCGCCCGCTGTTTCCGCCGCCTCGACGACCTCTTCCGTCGCCGCTTTGGTCCCGCCCCGGACCTCCCTGACTGGCCCAGCTTGCTGCGCCACGGTGTGCCTGTGTTTGACTTAGACATGGGTCAGATTAGTTCTGCCTTGCATTCTCTGTATGCTGATGCTTCGAGCGTTTCCGGATCATATTGCCCTGTGGTCTCTAGCTTAGGCGTAGCATCTGTGTGTAATCCAGACTTGTTAGGACAGCTTGCTTTGTGTAGCCTAGGCTCTACCCTTGCTCCTTCGTCGTCTGCCACTATGGCGTCGCTGTCCTTCACTCTAGACTCCGGTGCGTCAGCCTGTTTCTTCCGCGACCACGCCGCCCTCACGCCACTTGCTACGCCTGCCGCTGTCGCCCTTGCGGACCCCTCCTCAGGTCCTGTAGTTGCTCGCAGCTACACTACCCTTCCTTGTCCGGCGGTTCCCTCGGGTTCCCTTACAGGCCTGCACATCCCTTCGTTCTCCAGGAACTTAGTTGGTGTCGGCTGTTTTCAAGACCTCGGCGTCACCACTACGTTCCCTGATCACGAGCGGTACGTGGTTTGTTCCGAGGCCGCCTCAGGTGCCCCCCTTGCGACATTCCCCGGGGACCCTGTGTCTGGCCTGTTTACGCTGGACACTGCTCCCCCCCTAGCGGGCAAGTCCTCCTCCGGTCCTGCGGCCTGCTCGTGTCGGTCGCTCACTCACCCGTCACTGTTGTGGCACCACCGCCTAGGTCACCCCACGCTCCCCCGCCTGCATCGCATGTCTCAGCACAGTCTAGTCATCGGCCTCCCTACATCGCTCCCTGCTTTCCCTCCCTCGCCTGAGCCGCCGTGCACGCCCTACGTCGCAGGCCGGCTGCGCTGTGCTCCTCACTCCTCTTCACTTCGCCCTGCCACTGCATCCCTTCAGACCCTGCACTTGGACGTCTGGGGCCCACCCCCTGCACTTGGACGTCTGGGGCCTCGACCGCGTCTCGAGCGCTACTTTCTTGTGCTCGTTGACGACTTCACTCGCTACACCACGGTGTTTCCCCTGGAGCGGAAGGCCGACGTGCTTGACGTTCTTTCCCGTGGCTCGTCGCTGCGCGCCTCCACCGCGGTCTCCCTGTGCTATGTCTCCACTCCGACCGTGGCGGTGAGTTCGCCTCTAGTCGGCTGGGTCAGTTCGGTCGTGTGGAGGGCATCACCCAAACGTACACCCTACCGGACTCCCCGCATCAGAATGGGGTCGCTGAATGACGCATCGGTTTGGTCATGGAGGTGGCTCGTACCTCCATGATCCATGCTGGTGCACCCCAATTTCTGTGGCCGTTCGCCGTTCCCTACGCCGCTCACAACCTTAACCTCTGGCCTCGCTCTCAGCAGCCGGGGCTTCGCCGACCCGTCTTTGGACCAGGTTCCCTAATGACGCGTCTGCGTTCCACGTTTGGGGATACCTTGCTCACGTTCGTGCCTTCGGCACGGACAAGCTCACTGCCCGCACCGTCCCCTGTGTCTTCCTCGATTTCCCCCTTGACTCGTCTGACTGGCACTTCTACCACCCGCCATCTCACCGCTTCCTTCTCTCTTGTAACGTCACTTTCGACGAGTCCGTCTCCTATTTCCACTGCTTTCCTCACCAAGGTCTCTCGGTCCCCCCCCCCCTGTTCCTTGTTCCCACTCCCCCGGTCGCCCCTAATCTTGTCCCTCCCTGTCCTGCTCCGTCCGGTGTGTCTCACATCACTCCCCTCCCGTCGATTGTCCCGGTCGAGCAGTCGTCTGACTCCGGTGGCCCCGCGGCGCAGTTTGCGCCGCCTGTTCCCCCCCCAATGTCTCCTCCTCCCTTGTCGCAGTCGTCGCCGCAGCAGCCGCTGTCACCGCCGCCACACCCGCAGCCATCACCGCAGCCACAGCCGTTCGTGGACTCTGGGGGTGCTGGAGTTGGAGAGGGTGCTAGTCCTAGGGCTCCTGCCCCGGCTTGTCCCGGCGGGCTCGGGGGTGGCACCGGCGCTGGAGACGTTTCTCGTTATGGGGGTGCTGACGTGGAGTGTACCGGAGGTAGCGGTTGTGCAGCTGGTGGTCCAGGTGTCGGCGTTGAGAAGCAGCAGCAGCAGCAGACGCCGCCGGTGTCTGCCCTTCGCCTGCTCGGCCTTCCCTCCCCTGATCGCTCGCCTGCGCCTCCCTCACCGTCTCCCCCTCTTCCTATTCACGGTCCCATGTTTCCTCCGCCGGACGTGTCCCTGGCTCGTTTCCCCTCTCGTTCCCCTCCTATTACTCCTCCTCTGTCTCCTGACCCGACGCCTCCGTCTCACATCTGGTCTCGCCGTCCCTCTCGTGCTCGTCCTGTCTCTCCTGTTCAGCGTTCTCACCCTATGTTGCTTCGTTCCCACGCGTCTCGTCCTCCGCGTTTGCCTTCGCCTCCTCCGTCGTCGCTCACTGTCGCGCCTCCCCCTCTGTCTGACTACCTTCGTGCTGGTCGTCCACTTGTTCCTCGGGTCCTTGCCTCCCTTGTTACCGACCCGACTCTTCCTGTCTCCAGTCTCGACGCTCTTGTCGCTCCTGTCACTGACTTTGCCTCTACTCGCCGCCTTGACTTCGCTACCGCTCTGGTCTCTGACCCTGCGTGTCCTCCGTCCGTCGGGGGTGCTCCTGCCCTTGGAAGTGACGTCTTGGAGGACCGGCAGTACGAGCTTGCTTTCCTGTCAGAGGCTGCTCCCCATCTCTGTTCCATGCTGCTAGTCCCTCAGGGTGACCTCGACGCCTTTGACATCACGACCCCTCGCACCTACGCTGAGGCGACCTCGGGACCCTAGACCTCTCAGTGGATAGCTGCCATTGAGCAGGAGATGGCATCTTGGAGGGCTACCTGCACCTACGTTGACGCAGTTCCCCCACCTGGGGTGAACGTAGTCGATGGCCGCTGGCTCTTCAAGGTGAAGCGCCCCCCTGGAGAGTCGCCTGTGTTCAAGGCGCGCTACGTGGCTAGAGGCTTCAGACAGCGAGAGGGGGTGGACTTCTTTCAGACCTTCGCCCCGACCCTGAAGATGACTACTCTTCGGGCGCTGCTACACGTAGCAGCACAGCGTGACTGTGAGCTCCACTCCCTTGACTTCTCCACTGCTTTTCTTCAAGGTAGCCTGCACGAGCAGGTCTACCTGTGCCATCCTCAGGGCTTCACCTGTCCCTTCCCTCCTGGGACCCAGTGGCTTCTCCGGCGCCCGGTCTACGGCCTGCAACAGGCGCCCCGTGAGTGGCACGATACGCTGTATGCTACGCTAGCTGACCTGCAGTTCTTTCCGTCCTCTGCTGACCCTTCGCTCTTCGTTTGTGCTGGCCAGACTCCGTTCTACATCCTTGCCTACATAGACGACCTGGTCTTCGCTACCTCAGACAGAGACGCACTGGCCTCCGTGAAGGCTGAGCTGCTGAGGAGACACACCCGCACTGACCTAGGAGAGCTGCGGCGCTACCTTGGTGTGTAGATCTCCAGGGACAGAGCAATGCGCACCATCACTCTTACACAGTCTCACTTGGTGCGCTAGGTCCTTCAGAGGTTCTGTCTTCAGTTCTCCTCTGCACAGCCCACACCTCTGCCGGTAGACCACAGGCTCTCAGCTCTAGTTCCCGAGGAGTTAGCAAAGCCCAGTGGTCCTTACGCAGAGCTGGTGGGTTGCCTCATGTACGTGATGACTTGCACTCGCCCATATCTCGCATACCCTCTCAGCATCTTGGCTCGCTTTGTGGCCACATGCAGACACCAACCACAGCATTGGTTGGCCGCCAAGAGGGTTTTGCGTTATCTTGCAAGTACAGCGGCCATGGGGCTAGTGCTGGGAGGACGCAGGCCAGTGGACTTGACTCGGCACACAGACGCTTCTTTGGCAGACGACGCTGAGACCCTCAGGTCGTCTCAGGGCTACAGCTTCAGCCTTGGTTCTGGTGCGGTACTTCCTCCTGCGCAAGCTTGAGCAGCGTCGCCAGGCCCGCGTAGTAAACTTGGCCTCCGGTGCCAATACAACTGATATCTTTACTAAGGCGCTTCCGCTTAGAGATCATTAGTGGCACTGCTTGCAGTTAGGTCTAGTCCCTATTGAATCTCACTTTCTAGGCCCTTGATTGTGTACTTCTTTCTATTTATGCCTTCCAGACTGGCCTTGTGGCGTTTCTTCCAGTGGTTGGACTAGTAGTGCCGCCCTGATTTGCTCTATCTTGCTTGCACTCTTGCTGAATGGTCTTCGGGCCCCTGCCTCAGAGGTTGGACTAGTAGTGCCACCCTGTGCTGCGTGTTTCTTGCTCAGCACTACCCCTTATCTAGCCTAGGGGGTGTGCCAGCTTATACATATATTATTATGTAGAAGTTATAGGCTAGATAGGGCATGTTCTTAGTGGGTACAACCCAAACGCTATATCTCCCGTGTTCTCCCTTCTTCTAATAATTCTTTCTAGTCTTAACAGAGACGCCATGAATGGCGAGAGGTTTAAGGTGCTAGGAAAATTACGAGAGAGAAGAGACTTGGAATAGAAGAGAGAGGGATACAAGAAGGGGGGTTGTACCCTCTACAGTAGAATCCAGTAACACCTACCAAGCCTACCATTTTATATATATCTATTATATAATTGAACAGATATCTACCATTGCCAGCTGCAGATAAAATGTTGATCCCCCCCGCTCGCTCCTTCGCAACCGGTACCACGCGTGTTGTTCCTTCAATAGTTCTCAACAGATACAGAGCAATCGGTCTTATGTAAGGCATGCACCTACCTGCACGGCGCACGAGATTGGATCAAGAAAAAAATCCCTTGGCCACCCCTGAACCCAAAGCGTATGACAAGCGAAACCCAGCCATCCCCCACTTAAATACTCTTGGGTGCTTCCATCCACTCTGTCAAGTAGCGCATTTACCTTTTCGGCCAGGTCCGTTTTTTGCTCTTGCTTCTGAACATTACATGGCTGCCGCTCGTCCAGCCTTAGAAGCCCACACATAATTGCTCTCCTCCTCACTCGCCCCGGTCTATTCTTCACTTCCGGAACCGACAGTATTCTTGAGTGCTTCCACCTTATCAAGCAATGCATTCAAGCTCTTGGCCAAATTCCTTCATTGCTCTCGTCCAAAGTCATTTTCACACGACTGCAGCTTGCCCAACTGTAGGAGCCCGCTCATAATTGCCTCTCCTCACTCACTCGAATCTATTCTTCACTTCCGGAATAGGCAGTGTTCTTGAATGCTTCCACCTTGTCAAGCAATGCATTCAAATACTTGGCCAAATCCCTTCTTTGCTCTCGTCCAAAGTCATTCTCACACGATTGCAGCTTGTCCAGCTTTAGAAGCCCGCTCATGACCGTCCCACTCACCCGAACCTTCTCCTTAGGCTCAGAAACCAATCTGCCTCAGAACTTCTCATCACCAAGCCTCGCCTCCACGTCCCGAGCCAGCTTCTGGAGCTTAGAGATTGTATTGCCGACTTATGAAGGCAGCAAAGCTGAGTGAGAGAGTCCTCGTGAGCCGTCCGTCTCTGCTGTGGCTGCTATGGCTACTGTGGCAGCTGAGCTCTTGACATGGCGTTCATCAGCTTCTTACTTCTGCCGCCTCGCTATTTGTTCCTATTCATGCTGCTGCTGCTGTTGTTGCCACTGCTGATTCTGCTTCTCCCATTTTTTCTGCATCCAATGATGTCGTCTCGCTTCTGGTCCAGCCGGTCGTGCCGCCTGCTTTGCTTTCATTGTCTGCTCCACTTCTGTCGCCAATTCCGTTTCATCCGGTGCGACCCCATCTTGTCGCAGAGCCCCTTCGCGACGGTCGTCTCCACGACGCTTGGGTGACGGCGCGAGGAAAGGCGACGTGAGAGGATCCCACGGCGACTACTTGGCCCCTTGCAACGCGGTGAAAGAGTCAACAGGAGACAGGAACGTGGGCGAAGCGTGCCTGTGAAGAATCCAATCTGGATCGTCCTCAAAACCCATGACTCCCACTGCTGTTGTAGAATGAAAGCTCCGAACAATAGATGTTGTAAAATATATATCTATACAACATGCATGCCTAGATTAGGAGGTGTAGTCATTATAATTATTGGGGGGTTGTTGGTTGGGTTGACCAACCCTGTTATGAAATAGGAAGTGTCAATGTACTATAACGTGAGAATACAACAGTCGCTATTGCAATGAGGACACGAGGTTATATAGGAGTTGGCGTACTAGGGCGATAACCTCGGAACGTGGGTAGGTTCGACAATGTGGCGACAGTGCCGGGCGCGACTCGGAAAAGGGTTGGGCCGATAATTGAGGCCGAACGTGACGAGTCGAGGAAGTCGGGTGTACGCGCTAGCGTACGACTCAGTAAGGAATGGAAATTCCTTACACTACCCCCCCCTCCTAAACGAGACCGCGGGCATCGGAAACATTCTAACACTGATAATACGCTGTTAGAATCGGATGTGATTCTAGCTCAGCGAGCGGCACCCAGCTGTCGTCTTCGGACGTGCGATCGCGCCGGTGGACGAGAAAATCAACCATCCGACGGTTCAGCTGCGTCGTGACTCGATGGCCCAGTATTTTCAAAGGCTCAGTTGTCGGTTCCTGCGGAGGTGTCAGCTGCGGCACAGCGCGTTGGCGCGCCAATTCTGACGAACTGGGGACGTAGGGCCATAAGAGGCTGATGTGGAACGCCGGGTGGTGACGCCAATCAGCTGGGAGTCACATGTGAGCAGTGGCAGGTGTCACCATATTCGTCACTTGAAAGGGTCCGCAGAATCTGGGGCGGAGTTGTCGCGGAGGGCGCGTTGTTATACGCGAATTCCAGCAGCGGAAGGGATTTCTCCCATGTCTGTGGGTCAGTACAGGTAGTCCGAATAAGCTGTTCCATAGTTTGGTTGACTCGTTCGGTCTGCCCGTCGGTCTGTGGGTGGTAGGCAGAGGAAAACTGTAGTTTGGTGCCGAACTGGTCCCACAGGTGGCGCCAGAAATCCGATGTGAATTTTGGGTCTCGGTCAGAAATAATTGCGGTAGGCAGTCTGTGCAGGCGAATGATGTTGGCGATGAACAATTGAGTAGTTTGCTCGGCTGTGATTGTCTGTTGGCAAGCAATGAAGTGCGCCATTTTTGTGAGTCGATCGACGACCACGAGGATGGCGTCGTTTCCGCTGGGACCGGCTGGCAGTCCTGTCATGTAGTCCATCGTAATGTGTTGCCATGGTCGCTCGGGCGGATCCAACGGCTGCAATAGTCCGGCTGCTCGCTGATGAGAAGATTTCATGATCTGGCAGGCGGTGGAGGAGGACACGTACTCACGCACGTCGTCAGCCATGTTCGGCCAATAGTAGTTGCGCTGCAACGTCTTCGTAGTTTTGTCGACTCCGAAATGCCTGGAAGTAGGGTTGTCGTGAGATTCCTGTATTAAAAGGGTACGAAGTAAATCGTAGCCGCGTACCCAAATGCGGGAAGTATCGCGCTTATTAAAATAGTGTCCCATGGCGGTAGTGTGCTGTTGATGAATAGCGGAGCGGAAGAAAGGGTCGATCTTGTAGCCGTGGTTAAATAGTCCGGCAAGTAAGGGGTTGGTCTGGGCGATTAGTATGGCGGCGGTATGGGCAGTAGGTCGGGTCAAGGCATCGGCGATATTGTTGGCGCCCCGTTTGTAGGTGATGGTGTAATGGAAATTCGACTCGAGGAAATCAAGCCATCGGATCTGTCGCGGGTTGAGGTTCGGTTGGGCTCGCAGGTACTGTAAGGATTTGTGGTCAGTTCGCACCGCGACGTCAGCGCCTGTCAAATAGCACCGCCAGGTCTTGAACGCGTGGACCATCGCCAACATTTCCTTGTCGTGGACTATATAATTTTTCTCTGCGCCCTGCAGCTTCCGTGATTCGTAGGCGACTGGCTGTAACCCGTCGCCGAAATCCTGTAGGAGAATTGCACCAATGGCGATGTCGTTGGCATCGGTGATGACTTCGTATGGACGGTCAGGATCGGAGATGCGAAGAACGGGCGGCGACGTGAGGGCGACCTTCAGTTGGTCAAATGCAGCTTGCTGCTTCTCTCCCCACCAAAAACAATCGTGATCCTTCAATCGGTCGGTTAGCGGGGCAGATAACCCAGCCATATTGGGTATAAAGCGGCGGACGTAGTTGACGAAACCGAGAAAACTCTGCAATTCCTTGAGGTCGGTCGGCGGCTTCCATTCATAGATTGTCTTGATTTTCTTGGGGTCGATTTTCACTCCTTCGGTAGATACGACGTGTCCCAAAAACTCCAACTCCTGCTTAAGAATGTTGCACTTAGACCCTTTTGTGATGAGGCGATTCTTGTGCGTCAGCGTGAAGACTGCATCAAGATCCTTTAAGTGTTGCTCCCTGCTGCGGCTGTAGATTAGGATGTCGTCGAGGTAGATAATTACGCATTTATCCAAGAGTTCCCTGAAAACGCCGTTCATGGTCATCTGGAATGTCGAGGGCGCGTTCGTGAGGCCAAAGGGCATCACCAGGTATTCGTAACTGCCGTAGCGGGTTTGGAAGGCAGTTTTGTGACAATCTTCGGCGGCGACGCGAATTTGATGGTAACCTCCTTGCAAATCGATTTTCAAGAAGAACTTGGCTCCGCGAAGTTGGTCGAGTAGATCGTCAGCTCGCGGGATTGGGTAACGCGACTTGATTGTGATCCGGTTGAGGGCGCGGTAGTCGATGCACATGCGGAATCCTCCATCTTTTTTCGGGGTGAACAGGATTGGGGCGGCGTATGGGGACGTGCTGGGCCGGATAAACCCCTTCGTGAGAAGATAATCCAATTGCTGCTGCAGTTCTTCCAGTTCCGGTTGGCTGAGCCGAAATTGTTGCTGTACTGTTGGTTGGGCACCTGGTTCCTGCTCGATGCGATGGTCTTCTGGTCGGCTCGGCGGCAATCCAGCGGGTAGGTCGTTCGGGAAAATCTCGGGGTACTTCCGAATTAGGTCCGCTAAATCCGGAAGAACGGCATCGCACAGCTTTGCGATATCTTCGGCAATTGTTGGCGACGTCACCTCGCGAAGATGGATGGCGTACGCTGCGGCTCCCGCTTTTATTGCGCGTTTGAAAGTTATCGCATGGACTTGGGTGCTTCGCATGCGAGGCCCCGTCCATTTCGGAAGTGTGCGATGAATCCTGTCGATTTTGATGCTGCAGCCGCCCGTCGTCCAGTCAAACTTCGGGTTGTACTGTCGTAGCCAATCTCTTCTCAGCAGTACGTCGCATCCGTCGAGTGTAGTCGCCAGCAGCCCCATCCAAAATTTTACGTGCTCCCCGCAGTGGAAACCGACGTTCTCCACTCGTTCCCGTATGGCCAGCGGTGTTCCATCTACTAGGCGGGCGTCATTTTTTGGTAGACACTTAAGTAGGGGAATACCCAATTTTTTAGCCCTGTCCAGTTGTATGAGACTGTGACTCGTGCCTCCATCCACAAATATTTTCAGCAACACCCCGTTGCCTTTACCCTCCACCAACACAGGGTGATAAGCAGTTTCGTCCCCCTTATTCATCCGGGTCCGGTCGATTGCAGCAATCGGGATCACGACCCGGTGGGGACTGTGTGGTTCGGGCGAAGAAGCCTGCCCGTTAGTAAGGGGCCCGGTACTTACTGACGCGACCCATTTCCCAGTCGCTCCTCCGGCTTCTTCCCCATAGAATTCTGAGTGGCTACGATTTCTGGGCAGTTGCGTCGGATGTGACCCGGTCGGCCACAGTGGTAGCATAACCCCGTATTTCGCGGAGCAACTGCGTATATATCCACTGCGTCCATCCCTTTTATCGTGGCGCGCTGGTACTGTTCTCGAGGGCGACCTCCGTCGTAGAAGTTTGTCCTCGGCTTCGTGAGCGAATTGGCGGCTCCGGCGAGCTGGATAAAGTCTTGTAACCGATTCGCAGGGCGTTGCAGTTTTATCTGGTACTGTATTTCAGGCTTCAGCCCGCCCATGTACCTGTCGACCTTTTCCAACTCGTGCATGTAGCCACATCGATCCACCAACGTCAAGAATGACGCGGTGTATTTGGACACAGATCCCAGCTGCTTCCACATGCGTAGAGTCTCGTGCGCTTTGTCTGAGTCGGGAGCGTGCTCAAACCGCTTGCGAAGTTCTGCGCACCATGTTGCCCACGTGCGAATGTGGGTTGCACCAAACAGCAAATCTGCCTCGTCTTCGTCGCCGAATTCTTCGGACCACTCATGCTGTCCTTTTGTGTGAGTTGCCACTGAGTCGACGATGACCTTCCACCACTGTAGGGCGGCCCCTTGCAACAGTGTCAACGCATGGCTGATCCGCTTCTGATCGTCTCGGATGCCCGCCGCATTGAAATAGATATTCATGGCGAATATCCACTGCCGCACCGTCACGCCTTTATTATCTCGGTCGAAAAGAGCGGGTTGCTGATATCTCACGCCGCCACTTGTCGAGCGCGAGGCTGTTGCCGCTAGTCGCGCCAGCTCCACTGGCGCCGGTTGCTGCTCACCCGCCTTGCTTCGTGCATCGTCGCCCGGCTCCTCTGAACGCCTTTCCTGCACCTGGCGAAGTCGTTGGTTTTCGTCGCGGAGGTTGTTGACGACGCTTGTCAAATTGTTTAACTGCTCCATTAATGCTTGCAGGTCCACAGTTTCCCGGGCAGAGTTCGCAGCAGTCGAGGTCGTCTGTTCCTCAACCGTCGAGTCTACCGAGGCCATGGCGGTCAGGACGGGGCAGAAACTAGCGCACACGCTATAGTTGTTGACGTAAAAATATTTACGATCGAAGACAACTGCTGTGCAGCCGTGTTAATCCCCTCTGACCACCCTTCACTAATTAAACAGGAAAACGGAAGGTTCTTGGAAAGTTCGGGCTCTGATACCAGCTGTTATGAAATAGGAAGTGTCAATGTACTATAACGTGAGAATACAACGGTCGCTATTGCAATGAGGGCACGAGGTTATATAGGAGTTGGCATACTAAGGCGATAACCTCGGAACGTGGGTAGGTTCGGCAATGTGGCGGCAGTGCCGGGCGCGACTCGGGAAAGGGTTGGGCCGATAATTGAGGCCGAACGTGACGAGTCGAGGAAGTCAGGTGTACGCGCTAGCGTACGACTCAGTAAGGAATGGAAATTCCTTACAAACCCCACATTTGGGTTGGTCAAGTTTGGATTTGGTCTTAGACTTTTGGTTGGGACTATTCCAACCAAATGGTCTTTGGTCCTAAGAACCAACCAATCACCAAGCACCACACTTTGTGGTTGCTTGCCTTCCAAGCAACCTCCCCCATTGGTCCACATTGTGGCCAATCGGAGAGCACCACACTTTGTGGTTGCTTGCCCTACAAGTAACCTCTCTCATTGGTCCACTTATGGCCAATAGGAGAGCTTCTCTTCCAACTCTTCCTTGCTCCTTGTTTTGTACAATAGAGCTTCTTGGCTCTCTACTGAATTCAACCATTTCTCCTCTAAGCTACTTCATTCAGTAGATGCCTTGATCCTATGAATTGATTCGAGCTAACGAGAGTTTGGTTGCGGTGGCGTTAGAGGAAAAAAAGAAGAAAGAAGAAGAAGAAGAAAAAAAGGAAATGTGAGGTTTACAAGTCATGAGTCATGACTATGAGAGCTGGGGTGAACTTGCGTGCTTCTTTTATGACGCTCCGTGTGCCAAACCCTAGCATTTCCCATGTGCACCGTGCATGGGACCTGGGCTCTGCTTGTACGCGCCCTGACAAGAGGGCGCCACGTGGAAAAGGAGCATGCATGATAAGAGTGAGCGGGGGGCAGCATAGCAGCTCATGCATTGATATCTGTGACTGTACATGTGGATGGGAATGGTATCTGAGACTATGGGCCGAGTATTTGAATCAGGAAGGCGTGGGAGATTCGGTGCTGGAGGTGGGGGAGGAAAGAAAGTGTTAGGGCGTGTCCAGCGCGTACATTTTGGGATTTGGACGGTTTCGAAACGTACTACGAAAATGCCGGAAAAATGTACCATCAAATGTAAACGGATCATACCGTGTCCCTGAAACCCATGAGCCGTGTCCAGCGCAAATGCCTCCCACGTGGACACGAGCCGCCCAGCGATGCATACACCTGGTGCATTATAATAAAATCCCTCCGGTTACAAGCTATACGGCAGTTTCACCTGGAGAATAAAACTAGAACCGGGCAATTCCCTCGACTGAGCCCCACGTGCGTCAATCAGAGTTTTTGGCCCACCTGAGCTCGTCATTTTTGCGCAGGTCGTTCGTTAATTCACCCACGGTGAATTGGTTTCCTGGTATCCAGGGCAGGTGGACAGTAGCCCCTTTCAGTCATTCTTCGGTACATCCCCCCTTGCTATAACTTTCCGCACCGTGGTACAAGTCATGTATACGCGCGTTTCGTAGCCAGAAATGTGCATGTCCGCGTGGGTGCTGATTTTCACTGTTGATAGTTTTTCGGATGTACTGTACCGCCTGCTGTTCGTTAAAGCCACCGTGCAAGATTAAAAAAAAACCCTGAACCCGTAGAGGTAGTTGGGTGTTGGCGAGTTCAGCGAGGTGGTATGGAAAGAACGAAGCACGTGATTGGGTGGGAATTTGGTGATTTCGCCACGGTGTAATTTGATTTTGGTCTTGCCTGTGGGTCCGAGATGGATGTTGCGGGTTAGGGGGAAAAGGCAGGGGGAGTTTTGTGGGCGGGGTGTTGAAAACATTTTGAAAATTGTCGCTGGCGGAAATGATTGGGCCCCAAGGCGGAATCGAAATCGCCCCTTGTTTATATTCCAACTTGAAAACGCAGTGGCGGGAGTGGGGGAAGTGTCAATATATATATATATATATATATATATATTTGTTTAGGCTTGGTAGGTTTGCTGCATTGCTGGATCCTACTGTAGAGGGGACAACCCCCCCTTCTGGTATCTCTTTCTCTTCTAGTCCATCCCTATTCTCTCTCGTCAATTTCTACTAGCACCTAAAACCTTTCGACCTTTCATGGCTACCTACCTAACTCCTTCTTAACATGCTATTAGAGCAGGCCCTTAACGCGTCAGCGCATGGGCAGCAGCGGGCTGCGCAATGTTTTAACCGCCGTCCAGCTCGCCCGCACGCCAGTAAACGCCGTGGCAGCCATGGCGTCTCGCTGAAGATTCCCCCCCCCCTCCTTTGCCTTTTTCCTCCTCCCTGCCGCAGCTGCTAGCTGTCTTGTCCCATCCTCCCCATCGTCGTCGCAGTGTGAGCCACGCCGCTGGGTGCCTCGGGCGGCGGCGCCGCCACCGCTGCGACCCTCCGTCGACATCGCCGCCTCGATTGCCAAAGGGTCGACCTGCTGGTCGACGCCACGTCTGCTGTTGGGCATGGGGGTGCAAGGGTGTGGGGGTGTTGTGTTTGGGGTGGGCTTGCCACTACCAAGCCTAGGGGGTGTGTCGAATTATATATATATTTTTATATATATTTGCACCGCAGCTTTAAGCGTACGCGCTGGACTCGCCCTTATGATGCACGGTTTTCTGCTAGAACGGGAGCTTCTGCGGAAGTGCCTGACGCAGATAGAGCTCTCTAGCTCAGTCGCTCTCGAAGGAGAAAGTTGCCTTCAGAATTGTGTGTTTCACTCAGTAGCGTTTGAGAAAGCTTAGGCACACAAATTCACTAGAATCAAGATTACAAAGTATGGTACACAAGGCAAACACTAGTACTACCCCATTGAACCTCATTGAACATGGCGAGAACGTTCGCACAAGAACGTTTACATAACTACTTTAAGCTGCGCTTAGCCAAGTCAGCAATGGCATGTGAAAAAATTACAGCACATGCTTAGTTGGTAATTTTTTACCCAGTTAGAAGTAGTTGTTTTAACAGTTTTAGATATGAAACTGTCAGATACTATGCATATTTCCGCAGTTACGAAATGTGCGTCCCGTGTTCAATTTCTCAATGTCGCAGGTAGATTTTGCCCTTTTTTGGTCCAGATCGGTTGGAGGTTAACTTACGAAATCGCAAAATTCTCGCGATTTCGGAACATACCTTCATCAGAAAAAACTAAGTCCTCGTTTTTCTGTCAAAGGGGTCGCTCGCAGAAGCGAAGTTCGAGATGACTCTCTGCCGCGCTTCTGCCGAATTTCGTTTCTGCCGAGGGGGTCGTCAACAGAAGAGATAGTC